AGCTGAACATCATAAAGGTTGTAATTGAAGCCTAAGTCATTAATAGAATGAAAAACAATTTAAAAATACCATAAATTCATATTTTAGGAAAGGACATGGCTGGAAATATATAAGCTCTGGCAAAAGAAAATATGTAGATACCAAATGTTGGTTATCCTGTGCTGCATAAAAGCAGATCATTTCCATATCTTCTGTGGAAATATGTGATCTGGTGTCTAAAGTGGAAGGATGGATGAAATACTTAAATATTTCTAATAGTAAGAAAGAAATTTCTTCCATAAGATTGCATATTCAAAAAATACATAGTACTGGAATGGATGGTTACATTATATAAGAAAACACAGATTTGACTTTGTTTAGGGTACAAGAATTGTTGGGCAGATTTTAGTTAGTTAGAAAGGAAAAGTAAGAAAACTAAACAGAATGAATACATTTTACCCGGTTTGTTGTTTACTTTTTTAATTATTTTATTGTTGTTTTCTTATTTTCATTGTTTCTTTATTGTTAAAATAGCTCTTGTTTGCTGACAGAACAATTTGTTATCTTATAGGTATGAATATTCAAGAACTTTTTCTGAACAAAGTGGTTACTATTAAGTGACTGTGTATATGTTTAGACTGTAAAATTATATATTGAAGGTCAATAAAGTATGCATTTAAAAAAAGCAACAATCAAACTTAGCTTTAACATATTTAAAAACAGAATAACTTAATATTGTCCCGAGAGTCCAAACTCATATGTCTTTGGTAAGCTTGTAGAAATACTGACTGCTGGTCCAAAACTGCAATAGGTCATTTATATCTATTTTCCAATAATATCATAATTTGATATCCTTACTACTATTACTCAGTTGTCCATTTACAGTACCTGATCGTTTGAAGTGGGGTTGGTTTAAAGCAGAATGCTTACCAATGCTGCAGGCTACATTTTCTGAATACTGTACTGGAAACAGTCAGGGTATTTTGTGGTCTACTAGCTTGATTGTAACCTGAAAGAATTGATAAATGAACATGATAAGTGAAATGTACCCCAAAGGCTCCAACACATCAAATACTTGAGTTTGTGGGCTGTAGCTCAAAGTATGTCAAAGTATGTTAGCCATTTGGTCTTGCAGTCTCACAGAACTGCATTAAACTGCAAATTATTATTTGATGAGCAAGCCTTCATGATTGAAATTTTACCTTAGAGCAAGTAATTTTAGCCTTTACTCGTCTAGAAAATTAGAGTGATTCAAGAGGAAGTCTTATTGGTCTGACAATATAAAATGTGTATAGCAAGAGACGTGATATCTTCTCTGTGTTTGCATGCAAAGAACTTCCATGCTGTCTCATTCTAGTAACAAAATACTCTTCTTAAATAACCTGAGCTAACATATTAGAACAATATAGCATATTTTTATTCACAATACCTCCCTTTGAGTTTAACTTCTCCATTTTGCACTTTAGGGATCCATCTGCAGTTTCTGAACTTCTCCACAGAGCCTGTTCATGACTATTTGGAGGTGCGCAGTGGGACCCTTGAGACGGGAACATTGATAGATCGTTTCAGCGGCCCAGTGGTGCCTAATTCTCTCTTTAGCACCACACATGAGACCACACTCTTCTTCCACAGTGACTATTCCCAGAACAAGCCTGGTTTCCACATTGTCTACCAGGGTAAGAACCAAAGATTGGTTGTCCTGAAATTGGTTTTGTTGTAGCAGCAGGTACAGTATAGGAGTAAATATCATAATTTAGAACAGACAAGAAAAAAAAAAAAAAACCTTTGAGAGAGGATATAAAATAATTAATAAAGTAAATTGAATCAGTTTTAATGTAATTTTAGAGCTAAAGATAAGTTTCTTGAGATTTAACATTTCACATGATATTTGAATTATTTTCCTGCTTTCAAGCTAATTTTAAATGAAATTATTAATAACACCCTACTCTAAACAGTAGGTTCAACCTACAATTCTTTTAAACATAATTTAATATGTTTTAAAGATAGTTATACAGTACAACATAAGTACTTGTCCTCTATAGAGTCCCCTACAGTACTTTTGACTTCCTGTGTACCTTTCCCATTTTATCACATCATAAGGCAGGGCAATACACTTCTGGGGGGATTTTTTTGCCTTCGCTTGAACCCCAGTCGGCCTCAGTAGATGGCCGCTCACACTGAGCCTGGTTCTGCTGGAGGTTTTTTCCTGTTGAAACTGAGTTTTTCCTCTCCACTGTCGCTACAAGCATGTTTGGTGGGTGGGATTGCTAAGGAGTCAATGAGTCAATGCAATCAGCTTGTTTTCCTTAGATAGAAATCTTTGAATCAATTTGACTGCATGATCTGGTTGAAATATCTCTGTAGGGTGCCTTGAGATGACATATGTTGTGAATTGCCTCTATATAAATAAACTGAATTGAATTTATGTGACAGTCCAACGGTATGTATGCAATTATTTGATTTTGTTTACAAATACATCTGAAAAGTGAGGTGCACCAAAAAAAATTTAAAAAAAAATCTGGTAAAAGGGAATTATTATGGAATAATGAACTCCAAAAAAGGCCATATTTATAAGCTATTTGTGTTTGGTAGAAAGATTTTCCAACCTAATCTCTGGATCCGTGCTGCTTCTTCAGAGTTTCTCTGAATCTATGGTCTGCTTCTCTGATTAATGTTCTTTCCTAGCCTTTCAGTTTCAGACGGCAATGATTTGGTAGTTGTTGCAGTTGCAGTTGTTTTTCCATTTTGGGATGACGGATTGAACAGCAGCCCCCTGAGTTTTAATCTTGGGACATTGTTGTTTTTATATACCGAATATACTTCATAAATAGATTCACTTACATACGTACAGGTGGACTCTATTTATAAATCAACTGCTTTCTGAATGCAATTGGCTGAACCATATTTTATAAAAGGAAATCAGATTAAACGGGGCATAACAATGTGCATTGTACATTTCAGATTTCCTTTTTTTATCTGTGAAAATATATATTTTTCCTACCACTTCAAAGTTACGCACTTGTTATTAGTAGTATAACATCATACATCATGCACTGATGTGTCTAGTGTTTATGTGATAGAAGTAATAAACTATGTGAATATTTTTTTTATTAAATAACATGTATTTGATGTGTTAAAATATTTTCTTACTAAGATTTGATGTGAACTATTTTTCCAGCATATGAGCTGCAGAGATGTCCAGATCCCCGGCCTTTTCGTAATGGCTTGGTGATTGGTCAAGACTACAGTGTGGGGATGACCATTTCTTTTGAGTGTCTCCAGGGATACACTCTTATTGGAGAGGCCTCCCTCACATGTTTGCATGGAGTAAGCAGAAACTGGAATCATCCCATCCCTAAATGTGATGGTGAGGGCCAGCTGTGGCTTACAAACATTATTTTGTTGTTTTATCTGCACTGCATCTCCTTGTATCAGACCCAGAAAGTATGTTCTTTAAATATGTTCAGTTTAAAAAAAAAAACATATATATGTTTTATATACATATTTATAAAAAAAAAAATATATATATATATATATATATATATATATATATATATATATACCTTTTCTTTTGAGTAACCTCTAATATAGAAGTTTAAACGTTATGTTTATGGATAAATGTTCAATAACCTTTAAAAACATTATATTGCTTTCACAGAAAGGGGCTTAAAAAGAACCATAGACTTAGATTTAGACTCAACTTTTTTTGGGATTTTAGTTTTTAGTTTTTGGGATTACTCCTTCAGGGAAATTCTAGTTCCAGTAGCTTATATAGAGTACAAAGAGAAAGTAAGATTCCCTTAAGATAAAAATACACAGACAATATAAAAAGAGTATATATTGTAGAAAAAAGCATTCAAAAAGTTTCAATCCCATATATACCTTTCTATCAGGAAGAACTTAAACAAAAACATTATTCAAACGTGATTTTAAGGTATTTTTTTTATGTCCACTGGTATTCATATTCTTTATTCCTTAAAGAAAAAAAGCTACTGACTAAGCAAAAAGTATTGCATTAGATAATATAGTAACGTGCTGAGCTATTCGCAAATCCTTTGATGACAAAAACTGAAATTGCCAGGATACCTTGTAAATTTAAAAAGACAATGCAGATTTCTCTCCACTCGGCAAGATATCTGTGATTAGATAAGGGAAGCAATACGGAACATTTTAGGTCAGCAAGTCCCCATTCTCCAGTGAATACTTCTGTTTCGCTTCCTTCATATCACACCTTGCAACTCCAAATGCCTTTTTCAGACCTTAGGGTAGTATTTTTAGCTTAGATCATGACAGAGGAGGTTTTATCTTCAAAGTTATTTGGGTTATCAAGTTGTCAGTGAGAAGAGCTTTTGCTTTGCAGTGGTATCTTATAGGTACACCCCCTCTCTATTGTCACAAGGAAAAAAAACAAACCATGCTTTTATGTTTTTTTTTTTTATCAACAGTAAGGGACAACACAGCTATAAAAGCAATTTTTTGAAACTTGAGGAAAAGAACAGCTTTCTTTTTCATATCGATCATCTTTAACCACCTTCTCTGTCTTCAGCTCTCTGTGGTGGAAACATAACATCCATGAATGGTACAATTTACTCCCCTGGACACCCCGCTGAGTACCCACACTTCCAGGACTGCATGTGGAGTGTCAGAGTACCTCCAGGCTACGGCATCTACATAAATTTCTCTGTCATCAATACTGAACCCATCTACGACTACATCACTGTTTGGTGAGTTAGATTTGTTTTGCTTAGTTTGAAATTATTCATTGTCATGCTTTGGCACACACAAGATGTTGTTTTCCATGTGCTGGCCTTACTGCCAAGGGCAAGGAATCCTTCTCATGTACTAGCAATGTTTATGAATTTTATGATCCATTCAAATAGATTTTTTACAATGCAGGTTAAGAATGTTACATTTCTTGAGAATGATGTTATCTTGAAGGTGAATGAGCTCATCCTCACTGCTTAGATATTCTGTGTCCTCTGTATAAACCACTTCAAGTGTCACATGATTGTTATTCTTGCAGTAAAAATTGTTTTGGCTCCTGTTCTGACATTTTATATCACTCCGACCTCTGTTTGCAACCTATCTGCAAAAAAAAAAAAACATCTATGCATCGTTGTTTGAATATTGTTCTGCTTTATTGGTAGGAATTATGTCTGCAAATAACTGGTACCTTTGTTTTAAAATTATTCAACATTTTTTTTTTTTTTTTTCATTTGTGGTATTCCTCAGGAAATATACCTTCAGAATAATAAATAAGAGAAAAAAACAGTTGGTCTAATAACATGCATAACATGCCTGTATGCAATAACAGCATCTGTCTGCTACATACATGACTTCTTTTAACCTTTATCTGAATTTTCAAGAACTCCCAATTCTACATTCAATTCTATCTAATGTAGCAGCAACAGCATAAGACATATATGCAACAATATAATCAGCAAAAATATAAACACTGACAAAAAGCAAGAAGACTCAGGTATTGAAAAATAGAAAACACAAGAATATGCAGAAAAAGAAAAAAAAGAAACGTAAAAACTAAATTTATTGGTAAAATGTGAAGTATTCATTTTAACATCTAGTTATAGTTGGCTTCAGGCTGCTGATTGGCTGCAGACAGGAACAGATGGTGAAGGGTCGTTGGATTATTATTCTGTTTTTTTTGCTGGAGAAATAGGAGATCACTATGACAAAGAAACTGAAATCATGGGAGAGCTGTGGATTATTTTGTAGTTTTAAAACTTTTTCTTTTTAAAACTTTATTTTATTATCAATTTATGTCATTATTTTATTTTGCCTTTCCCTCAGATGAATATGGAAATAAAAACAGCCCTTATGTGTAACAATGCAAACCTGGAAATTAAATATTCCTGTTATTGCAATGCAAGCTGTAATGTGGCACAGAAAGGATTCAGCGGTCGACAAAGTGCTAAGGCCAGAGGCCACTTGGACATGCTGTGCTCACAGCTTGTGATATGACACCCAGATTAATTGAGCCAACAACTATTCAAAGATTTTGACCTGCTTTGACATTTGTAGCCTCATTTTTTTCCTGCAGCTTCCCACAAGAGCGAATTATATTGTCATATGGAATGTTATTAACTTAGAGAATCTAAAGGGAATCTGAGTTCACTTGTCTCATCGAACTTACAAAACTTCTACTGTGCAGTGGATATATCGGTGGGTGTTGCATAAAAAGACAGAAATGTGTATCAGCACAAAAACTTCATGTTGGAGTCGCTCGGGATGTTTGTTGGTTTGTAGAAACTTCTGCTGATAACCGACAGCTGTACAGCAGTAAACAATGCTACCTCCCGTCTGTCGCTTCAGCAGCTGCCTTCCCTTCAGTGTTTCCCTCTTCCTTTACCTCCCTGTTGCCTGTCTGATGAGTAGGAAGCCTCAGGCAGTTATGGAGCTGTCCCCTTGGGTGATAAAAATAAAAAATGCATCACAGCATTCAGGTCACCATTCATGCTATATGAAAAAAGAACTACTGGTGCTACTGGTTTTTAATGAAAGGCTGCATAAATAATTCCTTCCCTGATGCCAGCATTTCATTTCCTTGCTCGAATGCAGCCTCCAATTTTGCTGACAACTCTCAAATGAAACTGACGTAAGCTTTTTTTTTTTTTCTAAGTACATAAGACATTACAGTCACACATACATGCAGGAAAAGCATTTGGTGTACGTCATTTTGCTGATCATGGCTTAAGTTGTCTGAAATTGCCAGGGATGAAATTGCTTTCACTGCTCAGCTTGAATAAATGAAAAATGATTGGTTCTCATTTGAATTACTACATCTGTTGTCAATAAAAAGTAATTTCTTCGTTGTTCTCAACCTACTGGCTTATAGGGGTTAAAGACCCTCCCACCATCATCGCTTTTCCCATTAGCGGAGGTGTCTCTGCTTCGCAATGAGCAGTTAATAAATGCTTTACTGGTCTCTCTTATTAGACCACAGCAATCCACCTACTCATTCAGCTATTCAACCAGGATCAGGGACAATCCTTTGTGTTAATAGAGGTTTTTGTTGCAGCTTAGACACAGGTAAATTTCCCCAAAGATTGAATTCGGAAAATCTTTTCAGATGAACATTAAGAAAAAACTTTTGAAATGTTCCTTCTTTTGTTTTCGGTTACATTTTTCAGCTGTTTGCAAGTTCTGGAGTATTTCTTAACATTTTACCAAAACACAAACTTTTACAATACTTATTAAGTTTCTCACTGTATTATTTCTTCCTTCTAGCTCTACCTGGGTGATCTTGCGGTTTATCTACAGAATACATAATTGAGGGTTTACCTCAGGTTTCCTCTCAGTCTGACTTGTCTGATGTACCCCCTTAGGGAAGAACCCCAGAGGCATCCTAATTAGATGTCTGCATTTCCTCGAGGAACTCTTTCCACAACAAGTGCTGAAGCAGCCTACTTTAAGTTCAGCACCAAAAAATGTGGCTTCCATGAGCTCCGCCTGATGCTAATTTCCAAATTCAGTTTTTCACCCTCACACGCCTGCATCTTCAATGCAGAATTTTGGTACCCTCTATCACTCAACTCGTAAAATTGTTTCAGGCTTATTTTGGAGCAAGATCTTTGCAGCCTTTTGAGCGTATTCATATACATTAAACTTTTTAGTATCTAGTAATGCAACAGTTTATAATCATAATCATAGTAATTTTATATTCCAGAATCTATAATTGTAAACTAAGCATCAACTGAAAACAGTCCACCTAATCAGCATTGCTGAGAAAGAACAAGTCAAGAGGCTTAAAGTTTTAGTGCAGGATTTTTGCGAATTTTTTGAAAGGCCCGCCCTCTCAAATAAAAAAAAAATAATGCACATGCACAACCCTGTATCTGCTCCCAAGAGGGGACCCCTTTGAACAAGTAAATTTTTCCTTGTCACTCATACAAGCTTACTTTCTAAAAGACGATTTTCAATGTTTCCACTAAGTCAGACTCACCACCAATAAGGGAAAATGGGGACGAGCACATAGCAGCCGTTGTGAAACCAAACACTGAGAGTTCCCAACTTTAGGCTAGATCAAGTTAGAGTTGCAGATTTGAATCAGCATTTGTTGAACCTGTTTTGTGAAACAGACCCCAGGTGCAACAAACTGTAAGTACAATAACAAATAACTGCACACCTCACAATTCTGTCCTTCTGGAGCCATCAGAAGTGCCAGAGTTGTCTAAAGCCATTAGTTAACCGGTTTGTTTTTCGTCATGAGACATGAGGGGGACCTGCCAAACTTGTGATAGATGGTACTGTAGTCAGATATGACCAAAATTAGACACACATTTTCCACCCTTAAACACTGCTGTTGGAGGAACTGAGATACCATTTAAGGGTGAGAAAAAAGATAGATGGAACAGAATAAGGGGCAATCCTAAGAGGGAAATAAAAGAGCTGCAGGAGTTGGTACATTTTCCTTAACAGCAGGAAAAAAACACTAAATTAGACTTGCAAATGCAAGTAACTTCCTAAAGGATCTAAAACATAAGTATGCCATTCTTTTATCTTTAGTTTTACTGAAGTCTCTTAAAAACCATCTGTTATATTTTCCAGCATAAAGTAATAAACAGGTAAAAACGTTTAATGTCAAATGGGATAAAAACATAAAGAGTGTTGCAGATGAAAGATGAGTGCTGTTGGAATATTGTGGAGGAATCTTTGTTCATGGCTCTACATCTGTGGTCTTATGTCACACTTTGTGGTGGGTTCTAGGATGGCAGTGTTTAGTGTGTTGTGATCGAAGATAACCTGCAATGATGCTGCTACAACTTGTCCACTGATCAGCCAATAGGAAAGAAGTGGCTTCTGGGTATGCACCACATGAAGATCTAACAGGGATGATATATTCAAGGTGGGCTATTTCCAGGATTTTTATGATCCACAGAAGAGAAGCATGAGCAAAAACCATCAACCAGGATGTCAGATATTAGCTGAGAAATCATAGCAGTAACTGTGTAAACTGCTAAGTGATTAGCCTAAAGGATGTAAAGTTACCACATTTGCTGTGCCACACTTTAACATGAAAGAAACCTGATTATTACTGTGTGACATGTATCTACATAAAACACAGTAATACTTGTATTACATATTTATAAAATGACCCAATTCATCTACTATGAGAATCTGAATCACAGAACCTTTAGAACTACATATAGAGAGTTTTGACAAGAGGTGCAGGAGAGACTGCAGATTCTAAATGGTGTTCCCCATAAAAATGTACAAGCATTATATTTTTGGATTATTGAATCAATTCCTGGCATGGAGAGCCTGTCTTGCTCAAATCAGAGCAAACAGGAAACGACATGGAGCATCCGCCACAGGAGCAATGTCCATTTTTAGATTGCAGGCCAGTCAAAAACCCAAGAGCTTATACCTGTTCTCTGATGGTAGCCAATATCAAGACTAATAAATCATTTAACGTCACAACGTCAAATTTGTTGTTAGCAGATAGGACAAACAAAAAATGGTAAAAAACAAAACAAAAAAACGCTTCTTTATCAGTGTGTATGCTTCGCATCCATTTGTGCTGCTAGAGATGTCTGAGAGAAGTAGAATTTTAACGCTGTCGTGGCTGAGGAAGACACCAACCTGGGATGCTGGTTTACTGATTGAAATGCAAGGAGTAATATCTCATCCCTTATGGTGATATTACAAATTTATCTGCCTGCTGGATTACAGTTGCCTTTATATAAACAAAAGTAGCTGTTCAGCCACATCTTCAATCCCTAATCCTACCTAAAAAACCTGCAATCAAATAAGCTCAATACTAATTTGTCCAATAATCAATTAAAGACTTCTGCAGGATGAATATGGTCAAAGAAACGTTGACATCCGTCTTTTTATCAATGCATGTTTTTGTTTTCTTTGTATTTTTTTTAAGTTGAGCAAAATGTCCTTTAATGCGCAGCACATTAAATTGTATAAAGATTTGAGACAAGAGGTTAGAAAATATATACACCTGTCCAAATTATTTATCAGTCTTTATTTTGCCTACCATCAGAGAAGGGGAATAAAGTGTCACCAGTGACTCCCTAATCACACTGTTTACCGGGTCCAATTGGGTTCCATTTCAGGGTAAATTATTTTTATTTTAACTCCCATTGTGGCTTTTATTGACCCCTCGTGGCCACTGAAGGTTTAAGTATTTACAACATTCATTTCTTCTTCAACACTGTGATTGGCTGTTTGTGACTTTACGTTTTTTTTTTTTTTGTAAAGTTCATAGTTATGCGAGGGTCTTTTTAGATAACTCTATTGTATGAGATTAATAGAAACAAAAGCTTTTAATGTTTATTTGCTGTCAACAATTTAATCAGATTTTTCTTTAACAGCTATAATTAAAATATTTTTTTTCCAGTTTTCTTGCAGTTCATTTATAAAACTAGAGGCAGAACTGAAGTACTGTGTGTTTTGGAGAAACAAAAGTTGCTATAAAATCAAATTGTCCATGAAAAATAACCAGTTGGATTTTATATCGGCTGTGCCTGAATGTTCGCCCCAACCCTTAAATTACTAAAGAGGGGGTACTATATAGTGGACTTTATAATGCACCCTTTTCGGAGAGATGCTTTAAATAGCTGGATATGTCCTAACATATTTACCATTACTTAATGATGACATTTTTAAAATGCTGCCAACTGTTCGACCTCTTACCAACAACAATAGTTGTGGTATTCTTCAATAGTCTTGCTACATTCCTGCTTAGCCTTCAGAGGGAATTGGAAAGACAGTTCCTGGATCATTTCAGTTATCATAGAACCAAAACAGCTAAAAACACAGCATGACAACGAAACAAAACAGCCTGTGATTGCTAAAAGCCAAAAAACTTCCTGTAGATATTAGAAGATTAGTCCTCATGTCTCCGTAGAACATTTTCAGTTTTCTTTCTTTTGTAAAGCATATATGTGTTTACTCCAACTGTATGTATTTTTTAACATTTCACTAACCATTTCCACTGAAAATAGTCGACTCTGAGTTTTCCTCATAAAGTATCTTTACTCTAAAGCCAACGACGGAGCTACCCCTTAGACAGAGACCAAGGAAGAGCAAAAATAACAAAACTGGGAAATAAAAAAATTGTGATGAGAAGCTATGACTCAGGGAAGAGAACTCTATTCTTTTCTCTGTCGCCTGACTGCTTTATCCTCATTACTGACCAGTTTGATATTCTTTGTGTCTATTGACTGAATGATTTTGTATCACAGAGCACCACGGTCAAAGTTCACCATTATGCACAAGCCTCGAGTTGGTTGCATATTTTTTGTTCTGCACAATCCGAAACTGTTGTTGTACAAACAAATAAGTTAAAATGTATGCTACAATTTAGAAGTTTATATCTGATTCCACTGCACTTAATGATTCTGGACTAAATGTAATCCACATTTGTATTGGATTATCTCCTACTAACTAATGGCACATATTAAAGTAGCTGATGTAAAACTTTTATTTATTTTTATAGCATCTTTTTAGGCTGAAACCAGTTTGAATATGTCATCATTTGGACGACCAAGTCCAAGAGTAAATCCTCCTTATACAGTATATGAGAGATTATAAAAAGTCATGCTTTTTTTTTTTTTTTAAGTTGTAAAAATTAGAAAAATCTGATTTTGAATTACAAAAAAAGTGGTTAGATTACCTGGTCAAGCACATTGAACCATGTTAAATATTTTGCTCTTGTGTTTTATTTTATGTTTACCTCTCAATGACCAAGGACAATAACCTCTATGAACGACTCCTTGGCTACTGAGCCGGCCTTCAGGAATGGCACCGTTGCTTGAAAAGTGTCAAGTTTGTCCTTTGTTTATTCAACTGATCACAAAACTGCTTTATCTGCAATTATCCTGTCAGTGATGATAAACACTTTTCCTACATCAAAGCTTATGATATTGGCTCTGGTAAAGGCAAACTTGATAATTTTTTAAAAGAGCTTCCTTTCAGTTATGATTACAGAACACTAGAAAGAATTCCTTCTTGTTCACCACGAATACTAACCTGTAAGATGCAGGGTCTTTTTTTTTTTTAATGTCCTCATCTCATTGCACCATGAGGATCGGAACAACATAAGTCTCACCTTGCATACATCATCAGCCAAAGTTGAGCTTGCCCACCGTAGGGTTCTCTCATTATCTGAAAGTTTAGCCATCCATCCTTAATGATGATGGAGGATAAAGGCCTTCACAGTCTGTGGTCGTAACAAAATGTGTTTTCCTACTCCTACTGCTCTACTTCCAAAGGTGTTTTAAGATGAGCATGATCTGTTAAATTTTAGTTACTCTGGGTTTGTTGAGCTGAAAAAAATTTAGATGTTTGAACTTTGCCAGAAATCTTCCAACTGCTCTGCGTGTCTCTCAATTTAAGTCCGTCATAATTAATTGGTATTTTTTGAATGGTTAAATCCCTTTTTGTTATTGCCATATGTAATTGTTTTCCATTAAAATAGCAAATATGTTTTAAATCTAAGTGGATTTTTTGACTGCATGTTGTCATTTATTTTTTTTCTGTATATCTTCCCTTTTACAACTGCACTCTTCATCAATATGTATAATGACTAAAGGGTAGGGGGATCTTATTGCTTTACCTCCCTGTCAGCAAACAAATGGTAAACTTCTACTTTGACTGTGTTTGTAAAACGTCTCACAAACACTCAGAATTTATTGCTTATTCTACAGGATTCTTCAAGAGTGTTTGGGGATAAAAAGAGCTATTCTTTGATCCCAGCTGCTATTTTTACAGAAATATTTTCCATTCTTGCCATCCATTACCTCTTCTCATTTCTCTATCTCCATATCAGGGATGGACCCGACCAAAACTCACCTCAAATTGGCCAGTTCAGTGGTACCTCTGTGCAGGAAGGTGTGTCCACCACAGCCAATCAGGTCCTCATCAAGTTTCACAGCGACTTCAGCACCAGTGGCTTCTTCGAGCTTCATTATTATGGTAACCTTCCCTTTGAAACTAAGATTGCACTCCTGTATGAGCTTTTCATTTTATTGCTAAAATGTCTCATGTAGAAGTAAGCATACAAAAAAGCAGAAAAAGAACGTGCTTCTTTTTTTTTATATGTATTTGAAATTTTAATTTCCCTTTTTCTTTTTGCCATGTCACTCTTTTTATTGTATTGCTTCAAGTTATGTACAATAATAAATGATGGATGGCTCCTTATGCGTGTTTCTGTCCGTAATATAAAAGTGTCTTTTGAAGGGAAGTGGATTAATAATAAAATTCTCCCTTTTAGAGCTAAATTAGTTATAGTTTTTTTGATGATTACGCAGAGAGATAGGCAGCAATTGATAATCTAATCAGCTTTCAGCATAATGAGAGAGAAAAATGTGTGCAGCTGAATAGAAAATGTGCTTATGCTGTCTCTGTGCATTAGTCTCTCTCCTTGTTTGTGTTTTCTAGTGCCCATGTACCCTCTTGTGACTGTTTGTTCTCTCTCCTACAGCTTACCAACTGAGAACTTGTCAGCCACCCCCTCCTGTTGCCAATGCCACTATTCTAACCGATGATGACGAGTTTGAAATAGGTTTGTCTCATTTTATTTTGGTCGTTTAAAAGCCTGGGACAATGCATAATAGAATCAGCTTTTATTTCACAAAGGTGCGTCTGCATGGACAGCCAGGGGAAGATGAAACAGTAGCAGGCATGGACATAACAAACAGTTTTTGTCAAGAATTAATTTGTTCATTTTCCTGTTGGTGGGTTTGACAGTTTTGCATTTTATATCTTTCTTTTGTTGCCTTCCTTAATAATGTTGATGATCTGAAACTGTTTTTTTTTCTTTTTTATAGTTTATGTATCACCCCAGACCTGTTTATCTGCATTAATGAACAAAGGCAGATGTTTATTGTAGTCTTTGCCATCTTGCTCTATCGCCAGTGTCTATGCATCCTTCTCTCTGTTCATCCTTTTAAGTGTTCTCATCTATTCATGCTTTATGCATTAAAATATTAGTTTGAAGGCAGGGCTAATTAGATGTACTTATAAGCTGTTTGTGTTTTCAGTGTTCAGAAGTAATTAGTAAAGTGAAGTGGAAGTCATGTGGCCAGTGGCTGCCTCACTTTCAGCCTTTGAATTTGTGTGTAGTTTTATTTTTTAGGGTGTGCTGGTGTGCGAGTTTATGGCTGTGTAATTTAATGAATTGCCTTAAGTTCTAAGGGATGTCAATCTTCATTAAGAAATGTGCAGCTGATTACTTTTTCAAGTGGTGTTGCTAAGGAGTGTTACCAACATGGCTGGATGTGTGATTGTGTTGGTCATATGTTGGTGGCTGCACAAGTCAGTGAATTGATGGATCTGTTTCTCATGTCCACTTTTCACCTCTTGTGTTTTTGTTTGCATGATCGCTGTTATAAACGACCCTATAGGAGACATTATTCGGTACTCGTGCCAGCCAGGCTTCACCTTGGTGGGAAGTGAGATCCTGACTTGCCGTCTTGGAGAGAGGCTACAGATGGATGGGCTGCCACCAGTGTGCCAAGGTTTGTTTTGCACAAAATACGCTTCTTGGTCTATGGATATGTTTTCGGAAAGATGTGGACTGTTTTTAACATTTTGAACCTTTTAACCGTTTTTTTCCTGCGTATGTGTAATCATAATGTTATGAGTGAACTTGACACCACTTTTCCAAGGTTGGTTGCAGTCAGCAGCACTCACTGTTGATGCATCATTTAACAGACAGACAGCCAGAAGGCCGCCTTCCAGCTGTATCCCAGCGGCAAATCGGCTCTTCATAGGATAAGGATATGCAGTTTTTTTTGGAACAAAGCTCCCCCACTCTGTGTAAGAATCCACATCTGACTGCTGAGGATCAGATTGAAACCAATTAAATATCAACAGCTTTTAATAAAAACTTGGGAGTTTGATTTACTGCACTGAACTTGTCATCCCAGCATGGTTGGAACACAGATCTCAGGTTCATTAAAGAGCTAAAGGATAGAGAATCAACCATTTGAAACATATTTGATCATCTCTATATGTGATACCTGGTCTGACGTTTTTGGTTTTCTTCCTGTCTTTTTGCCTCTGAAAATATTCCATTGGGAATTAGGTGGATTTATGTTTTTACATGACTTGGCTCTCAAGTAAAGCCATACAACACTAAATTGTAAATTATTTTATTTACCACACTCATAAAATCTTGCACAAAACCAGGAAAGAGCCTGTTTAAGATAACAAAAACTGATAGCTTAAAAAAAAAAAAAAAGGTAAAAAATATATACAATTGTCACATCAGTTTGTAGTTTATTGGCTTACATGCAGAGTCACACGGAGAACCAGTGACTTTATCTTTTAGTTGCAAAAGTAACAACAATCTGAAAGCTGAGAACTGTCGAAGTCAGATAAACATTTCTGGTTGGTCTGAGGGGAGAAAGCAGACTGATCAGGAAGGAGTTGGTTGATGACAACTGATGACTGATTGATTTGCTTACTTGAGAGATGAAGGGGCAGTAGCATGGATCTGTAGGGGTTTGATTCAGCAGGCTTTGCAGGCTGTGCCCCAGAGGTCCAGGAGAATGTGAGAGAGATCCGAGAGTGTTGATACTGCAAGAAACGTCATGCTGGAGACGTTTCTTGCAAGGTGTGGTTAGGCAGGTGTGGGAAGTCAGAGAACTGCTGCACACAGGAAAGACTGTTTATATGAAGATTGGAGACAAACTGAGGTTCAAAGATATTCCTGGTTTAGGTCTTTGGCTGGAGTATCATCCTGTGTAATCATCCACCAAATAGAGATGATCCTTCACCTCCTTATAAACACGCTAGTCATCTTGATTGAGAATTGTTCTCTGGTGTGCAGCAACACTGGACGACCGAGCCACCAGCAAAGATCCTCTCTGTGACAGGAAGCTCACTCACAACAGAAAAACAGCAAAACCCCAAGTTAACAATAACTTCAATGCCATGCTAAATCATTGATATGCATTTTATGTTTACATCGTAATTACAAATTTTGCATTGTTAGGATATTATGGGTTAGACCAAGATAGACAGTAAACATGGAGGTGTAGCAATATGATCCAGTGCACTTGTTTTCAGACTGTCCTTAATTAGTTATAAGTTATTGTTAATTCATTAATTTTGTAGATTGATATTGTATTAGTAAGTTCTATATATAGAGTCTAGAAATAACCTGTTAAACAAAATAACCATTTAAAATGTACCTGTATTTAGTAATGCTAAGCAAGGCTTAAATACATATTGTATTATAATTTTTCATGGTATATTTAGGAGTCAAGACATTGTAATAGAAAGTTTGGTAAATACATTCTCTTTTGATATGAAGATATGCTTATATCATCATTGTAAGTAAAAAAAGCTAATTGAGCAGATTAGATAAAACGTTTTTAAATAATAAAACAATGTTTACATTTTTTATCAGATTTTCTTTTAGATGTTGACTAATATAACATATAAAACAGCTAAATCAAACTTTTGCATTTTAGAATTTGTGCCTATAATTTCTACATTTTGATTATTCAAGAAAAAAAAGGGATTTTTGCTATACATATTCAGGGATAACTAATATTTGATCATTTATTTCAATTTGATATTCAAAGACATTTTTTACCTCCATAATACGTTTTATAATACTCGCATTTTAAAATCCAATTTTGAAATATTAAATGGTTAATGTCATGTAACCATTTAGTCTTACCCTTTTGTTGATTTTAAAAGCATTTATTGATATTATTGTAATTAAACTTACCAGATTATTTTTTAGCTATTCTCAGACTGTTGCAAAACCTAAAAAATACAGTGTTAAAATGGAAATATGGAAACAATTAGAAGTTGTTTCCATATTTTATTTATTTTTTCATTTTCATTCTTGATTAACAGAAACTGAGGTTCCAGAGTTAAAATAATTTCATGACATCCAATTAAGTTTTTCAATCACCTCATATGTGGTTGATATAAAAAATAAATAAAAATACACTGAGAACCTCAAAAACTGCCTTATGAAACAAGACAAACCGGAATGTGATTCAAAATTGTAATTTAAATGTTAAAATATTAAAAAAAAAATTTGGAAAACATGTAAAAAAAAAAACGCTCAAATCTTAATTGAATTAATACAAATAGAGGAACCATCAGAACGAAGTATGTAGGAAAATTAAATGTTTATTGGATATAATAGAGGGATCTTTTTGGTAGAAATAAAGCTCTGCATCACCTCTCATGAGCGGGAAGAAATGAAATCCTGAAATAAAACTTTCTTTTTTTTTTTTTTTTACAAATGGCTGATGCTCTTGTTCAGCTGCATATAGTTTATTAAGTTTTAGGGGCAGAGACAGCTGAGCACACAGATGATGTTGAGAGAGCAATGAGTTTTTGAATGCACCACTGGGCGGAGTGTGAGAGCAGGCACGGAGCTAGGAAAACGCACAGACGGATTTGTGCATGAGCACAGCTGCTGGAGAAGAGTTTGTCAGATTTTAATAAGCACCAGACACATATTAAAGAAGCATGTGTGAGATTTACAAGCTAAACACTTGTTTTACTGATCTTTAGATTGGTAACTGTGTGCAAAAGTTTGTGGAACAAAAAACGAGGCAGCAGGTCCTTCTTGAACTGTATACCACCCCTAAATCTTTCACTTAGTACCGGACTGTCCCGGCTTACCTTCATCCCTGGGTAAAACTAATATCTGCATTTTAGCCAAAAGAGCTGCAATCGCATGAGAATTAAAGTTAACAGAATTTTACCTGCTTGTTTCTCAAAATACCAAAATCTGCCTGCTGAAGTAGTGGTACTTATGACAATAACCCACGCTTAGATTTAAGTGATAAAATTAACCTGCCAAATATAAACAGGTAATTTATGTTTAGACTTTCTTCCTAATACTTTGTTCTCTCATTGAATGTGTTCAAATAACCCATATGTGGTAAAAACACATGTATCATATTAAGAAAAAATGTTTTACAGGACTCCTTTTTTTAAGACTTCTGGCCAAAACTAAGCACTCCAACTGCTAAGGTAGTGCAGTGCACATTAAAATGGGTAGCGTCAGTAATAGACTTGTCTGTTTATATGTCAGATAACTACAGTACTCTTCTTTTTTGAGTATTTCCTAAAAACTGGCCTAGAGGATCACATTGGCATAGTTAGCACAATTTTAGGGTCGGTAATTTGTTGCCTGACATTTTCATGGATCACCTCATTTTTACTCTTAAGAATTCATTACATTTCTTGCATTGAATGTGTTATGCCCTTGTGCACCTCTAGCATGAAACTAATTGCTCTCCTTGGGACATGTAAAGTTGAACTTAATTTGAGTTGACCTGCTATTCACAGGCCTAAGACTGCGACTACTGCAAGCTTGTTACAAGGGCTATTTCCCATCGCTGACTTGTCAAGTGACTATGATGAGAGAACTCTCTTATGCTTTTCAAATCCTTTTTTATTTATTAGTTGTCATTTCATGTCTGAAAGACAACACTAGAATGACCTTGCTTGGCTGTACAAGCTTTCCCAAATATCCCTCCTTTTAAAGATATATTTCCCCAGGCTCTGTCGGCATGAAAAGGTATTAAAAAAAGTTCTACACCAGCTTCAACAATAAAGAGAATCATGACTGAGTTGACATGCAATCCCTTGTTAAAGTAGTCATACTATTCATCCCTTTCACCACAATAAAGCACATAGTTCAGTGTATTTTATCCGTATTTTATGTCAAAGATCAGCTCAAAGTAGTACATAACTGTTAGATGGAAGACGACTAATGCAATATATGATTCTGAAAATTTGTTTAGGAATAAAAGCTAGGCTACATCTCTTCAGGCCACAAGAGATTTGGTCACATTGGTTAGTGAGTATCGGTTAAGTCTTGCTACAAATGTTAAATAAATTTTACTCAGAACATAAAAATGTAGGCTTAGACTTAGTCTTAGAAAACTTTTATTGTCATTTTGTACAAAACGATATTTAGTTTTGTACAGCTTTTAGACAGTAAATGAGCAGCAGCATAGCAGTGGAATAAATGTTTCCATTTCATCAAGTTCAGCAGTGATCAAATATGTGGGAGAAAAACACAGGGTGCAAAAACGCATTGATATGGAATTTCAGAATATATTAAATGTATTAAAATGTATTGATTCAAACCTTATTATTATACCATTCAACATATATGTATAGTGCTGTCATACTGTCATACATTGCCTAATGTGAAACCCTGTGCCATAGAGGGCTAGGATGGCTCTTCTGTGTTGAGGCATGCTTCTGTGAAGAGGCTTTGTTCTATGCATTCCCCACTAAATGGACAGTATTTCATAGTTATATGTAAGATTAATTTATACTATATGATTAAGATATATGCATATGTTTAAAGCACAGAAAAAGGGATCATATTTTTCAGGTGTTGCCTAAACAAACACACCCTCATGGATACCTTGCGATTTGGGTCTCAGGGTGTTTCCTGTCCATATTACAGTACTTTATAGGCCTATCTCATGAAGTAGTGATATTGAGGGGGTTTGAAACATTTTAAGCCTCTCATGATTCATTTTATAATCCCTGCACTAAAAGTTGAAGTCTAAGCGTTTAAGCCCCAGCAGCGCTCATTGGATCCACTGGTGTGTGTTGCCTGGCAACATTAGTTTATTAAACTCGTAATAGAGAGCATAAATATTATGAACACTGCTTACCTAAATGGTGCTGTTCACAGGTTTGCAGAAAGCAACCTTTGTCATGTTTATCTTCATGAAGGAAATGCAGCTTTGCTGTGGTCTGTGTGGTGCATGAGTTCACAAACACACCAGTTTTAAGCAAGGACTGTTCAAAACCTTAAAGGTTATTCAGAATCCTTTCAGTCCAATGTTTTATAATTATTACATCTATGCCAATGATTTGCAAACTGTGATTTCCTGTCTCTGAGTTCTGTAATTTGATATGGATTTTTTATTTAAATCGACTATGTTTTGCTTCTTTTTTTTATTATCATAGATTGCATCCAAAAGCCAATAATAAGGGAATCTTAGAGTCTGTTTAAACATATTAGCTTAAAACCATTACTAATGATTATGTGACATTTATAAAGTATAAGAAAACAGTAATAGACATTTTGAATTATAATTTCAGGGTTTTTTTTGGTCAGTTATGTATTTCTCCAAACAGCCAGAGCCTCACAGAAAGAAGAAGAGAAATTTCCTTTAATATAAAACACACCCTGTGTTGCATCATTATCTAAAAAATTTATGCAGCTTTTGCTAAGATTCTGTTAGAACCGACACTAGAAAAATAGTTCAAACAGTATGTGGGTAGCAATCCCAGCCAGACTACCAGTTTCTGGTTTTCTACTGTGAATGTTATTAATTCTAGCTCACTTTCAAAGGATGACAAAATATTATAGCTGTAATTCTTGTTCTTTATAATAATCTATTATCCAATTGTCAAATCTTACTTAGCAAATATATTTAGAATAAATGGATGAAAAGTGAAAATGGTTACACCAACCTACCACCCAGAAACTGTCCTCATTATATAGTCTGATGCCTCAGGAGGCTTGGCCACACAGGTGCCCTCTGGAATCTCTAGATCTAGTTGCTCAAACTAGTATGGCTCAGGGCCACTGGCCTCCTCCATAGAACACCCCTCTTTCCCTCTTTTAAATCTGTCTCTGAAGAAGACGTGACGAAAAATCCTCCATATTACCGGTCCATCTGCTTTCATCGCTGCAATCACTCTCCAGGAAGGACCACAAACCTCCCTCCCTTCTTTGGTCCTGCAGGCTGTAAGATTTTTCCAAATATTAGATTTGGACACAGTGAAAGCCTGTGGAACAGGGTTGTATGGTCCTTTAAAGGATTTATGTGTGTAACAACATTTTTTTTCTTTTTTTATTGTATTCTGGATGTATTGGGAGCCAATTAAGGGAAGCAAAAATAGAGAAAATATGCTTTGTCTTTAATTTTCATCACAACTCTTGCGGCAGCATCTATGTTGAAAAGCTATTGAGGTTACCACATACAGGTTTAAAGTTATTTGTGTTATGAGATGATGTTAACAAGAAGAGATTTGTCATGGTAATAGTCTAAAAGCAGTTATTGTTTCATTGGCAGTGGCCACGAAAAGTTTCTCTGCGTGTTATGGTGTTTAAAACAAGGTTTTTTATGTTTTTTGTTATATACAATAATATACAGAATTACATTCTATTAGAGCAATGGGAGAAAATTTAAGCAGTTTTTACAAGATCCTTCTCGTTGTTACATTATTTCAATATTTCTCTCTTTTTTTATTTGATATATGTCCAAACTTCTCCCCTGACCTTTTTATCTGGAGCAGTTGTCCGCATTAACCTTTCATATGCGCCATGTTATTTCACTACTAGCCTTCAAGACTAGCTTTTAGCACCAACAAAGCAAACAATGGGACTGTCATTATTTCACACTTGCTAGCCACCAGGAAATGAGACATAAATACACACCTAGAGTATTTTCCAAAAAAAGTTAATGTCTTACAGGCTGACTCTTAGCATTTGATAGACTGAGTTTAATGTAGCCCAGTGACAGCAGCAGGCTCACCAGTTTTGGCATTTCGTGGAATACCAATACATTTCCTATGTGATTAATTTGTTGTCTGTTGAGTCTTTTAGTTGAGTCTTTTTGTATGCACTCTGTCCTTTGATTTATTTTAAATCACTGTTGCTCCTTTTCTCCAAAAAATGCCTGCTGACCCTTAATTCTGTCTCTCCAGTGCAATGTCCAGCATACGAGGTGCGCTTTGACTCAACGGGGGTGATCTTAAGTCCCGGCTATCCTGAAAACTACTCCAATCTTCAGACGTGCTCCTGGCTAATCAACGTAGAGAAGGGCTACAACATCACTCTGCACTTTGAACTTTTTGAGACTGAAAAAGAATTTGACATCCTGGAAATATTCGATGGTGGGTAAAAAATTGACCATTTTTCTTTTCTTTACTAAAATTCTTAGAATCAAAGCAAAAGTTAGTTAGGTAATTGTTTATGTTTTGATTTGATTTGATTATTTTTTTTTAATCAATCTTAGGTCCTAACATCTACAGTCAGAGCCTTTCAACACTCAGCGGTGACCTAGAAACTCCCTTCAATCTAACAACCACAGGCCATCAGCTGCTGCTGCGCTGGTCCACTGACCACGCCACCAACCGCCGCGGCTTCCACATCAGATATGTGGGTGAGTATCAAAGTATGTATCCATCTTATAATCATATTCTCTTTTTATTAATGTTATATTTAAGTAGATTTTGGGCCAGATTTACTGAGTCAGAGAAAATTGAATATGCTGCAAAAAGTTTAGAAACGGTGCTAGTGGGAGTGTCTAGTTTGGTATCTTATATGCGTTGAGGTTAAACTCTATTTGCAGTATTTGCCTTTTTTATACAAAGATGAATTTGAGTGTCAGTTTAGCTGTATTCAAATCAAGACTACGATTAATATTTGTCTAACAAGTAGACAAAATATGAGATATGAATCTTCCCCCTATACATATGTGGTACTATCCTTTCACAGGGACTTAATCACATATTGTCTCAAAACATTTCTTCACTAGGTTCTCACTCTGGTTACAAAAATTTTATGATTATCTCATGGAACCCTGTTGGGTTAGAGTATTTCTGTTTTTATGCTTTTTAGTTTCAGTGAACTTCATGTCTTTATTTACCTTTACTCGCCCGTATGACATAGGTACAGAATAAGGAACACATGGCATAAGTAAACAAGGAAAAACAGCAAAGGCCGAGTATATAAACGCCCATAAAGGTAATTGATACCAAGAGGGGTAAAGAGTAAGTAATAAGACCCTCTTGAAAACAGGATGGTTTTATCTCAAAGGTTTGTTCAAATTAAATAAAAATGAAATTTAGCACTCAGAATACAACATGAACTTCCCAGCTCAATGTAATGGTAGCTTAAGCTGCCTGATTGCTTCTGTGATTTGAAATGTGCGTTTTTCTAAATTGCCATTATATTGCAAATTCCGCTGCACAGCTCCAGTAAGGACTGCCAGAAAACGGTAAAAGCCTACAACAATGTTTAGGTCTGCTGGTCGCACCCAATGCAAAAACTCTTACCAGGCTAAAAAACACTAAGTAAACAATATCAAGATGAATTTTTGTTGTACAGTTTATTGCTTTTATTAACAAGAATAAATGTTTTTTGTGGTTTGGCTTATTATTTGAGTGGATATCTTTAATATAAATAAATCATTTGTTACTATAGAACAGACTTCCACTGGATAATGAATTGGATGAATTCCACCTATGATTTCAGTTTGCAATAAAGAAAAGATCAGTTGTGTTAAGTAATTCTCTTACAAAGATAGCACATTAGGCCAACAAGACAACTCTTATTCTTCCTATCTAACAAGGTTTAAGAATACAGATCCCAGATTATTCATCTATCAGCATTTCTAGATTGTCCTTGATCCTCTCTTAAGCTCTCTTTTCTTTAGTTCTCACCGTTTTTTTTTCTTTTTCGTTTTTTTATCACATGTATGTCTGGGGCCTAAAGTAACAATGCAAACTGATTTTTATTTTGTCTAAGCCATTTCTATATCATGTTTTGGTCAATTGTCTGTTTAAACAACTACACAACAATTTACCATTTGTTCCTGGTTGAGTGTACGACATTTTCTTTTAAGATATCCTGATATTTCAAATAGTTCATGATGGTGTGCACTTTAACAGGGGTTTTTCTTTTGGCTTTTGTGTGAGTAAAAGATGCACGGCATTCACCACAGTTAAATGTGTGCATGGGGTGCATTCGTACAAGCCTAAGATTCATTTTATGTTCCTGAAAAGCTCAAACTTATTTTTATATAACCAAAGCAAACAGTTCAATATATTGTGCCTATCAATGTAGCATTCTGCAAATTAACAAACACTGAGTTAGCATGCCACTATTTTCTGAAGTTGGTAATGAAGACCGAGCAACCCCAAGATACCGCCCTTTGGCCATACATTTTTATCTATTTTGACTTTCTAAAAATCCTGCTCATGATGACAGGACTAGTCCTCAACTTTGTGGCTAAAATAAATGTGCATTTTTGTTGTGTTCAAGATGAATTCAAATGTTCAAATTACTAAATGATAGACTCTACAAGGTCTGAACATCTTGAATAAGAACACAAAAAAAAATCCCTAAGTTACATTTATTTTGGAGACTGGAATACTTTTTATTCAGCTGAAAATAAAATGTTTCACAACTACAAATTCCCCTCTGAATCAATTTTCCTAAAATAAATGAAACAAAAAACAAGAACAAAAAAAAAAATAATAATAATTCTCAATCTAAAATTTTCTAAAAATCGAAAAGAAAAAAAACTCCACAGTTCAATTAAATTATGGGTTGTTATTGTTGAAAACACAGATATAAAACCTTGTAGGCTATGATTTATCTTAGCTTTAGGTGTAAGGTTATCCAAACTGTCTGTCAAATGAGATTACTGTGGTTTGAAAAACAGTTTTTGTGATATAATCTAATGCTACATTTCAATAACATACAAATGACAAATAAACAAATCTCCTTTGCACAAACTCTTCTTTTCCTTTCTGAATATGCGGTACATTCTGACAGAAGCTATTGCATTTAAATCAAGAGTGAGTTTTATTTCGGGTCCTTTAAGTTTAGCTTTCTTTGATTTCAACAAGTTCTGCTTCAATTTCCCAGTGAAATCAAACGTGTGAGCAAAAAAAATCATTTACAAAGTTAATACCAGCACTCCCATTGATGCACACAATAAAGGTCTGTGTTAATGGCTTTAATGCACTCTGAAGGTTTTCCTCATGTAAAAAAAGTAAATCTGGCCCTTGCTCTTAATAAAATAGGCAAGTGATGTATTTTATGATTTGCAAGTGAGTACATTTTTGTTGAGTAAATGTGGTGACTGTTCAGTTAAACATGTATTAGCAATACTTAATGTAAGGCCCAGATTTATTCATACCCCTGCTAGATTTAACCTGAGAGGAATCTTTTAATTTGGCCTTTACATTCTTTTGAATTTGTATGTATTTAACCAGAGTTGTCCAGTAAAAATCCTGACTTCTGTCTGAAAAAGAGAGTCTACCTAAAAAACAAATTGATTTTAATTCAATTGGAACATTAAAGAGGGCAATAAGCCCAACCTCAAAGATCTGAATTTCCTTACAAAAGATTAATGGTCAACTTGTACCAGTGGAAACATGCCATGCAGAAACTGGTAAGTACTGTACAAAAAAAAACAGTTATTTAAATAAAGGCTCATCCATTAATTATTATGAAATTGAGAGATTGTTTGAAATAATAATTTGGAAAGGTTTTCTTAAAACATTTCACGTTACGCCAATGTCATTTCAATCAGTCAACTTCTGGTTATCCATATCTAAACCTGACAGGGGTATGAGTAACTTTGAGGCAACATTTTATTTTTAATTAGTTTTGATTGGTTGATGGGTTTTTTTTTTTTTTACTGTTTTCTGATTTGCCTGAAACTATCTTAACATAGGAGGTTAGAATGTGTTTCGTGTCTTTTTTGGCTTTCCTGCCCTCATAATTTTGTTTGTATATCTAGAGCAGATGGGAGACAGTCATTGTAAAAACAGGGTTGTATTGTTTGTTTAAAGCAAGAAAAAACATTCTGATACATTAAACTATCTTTACCATCTCAGATTAGTGATTAGCAAAGTGGGTGACATTTGTATTCTTCAAACAGCAATATGTGAGTGTAGTGTGTAGAGAATGCAGACCCTCATGTTAAATCATATATTTCTAAAGCTACCAATATCTTTTTCCAAGGTTACCAGCATGCTTCTCAACAGACAGAGATTGAAAGCTAAGAAGGATAAAAAGCTAAAGCTTTTCTTTACTTTGTTTAGCATTTCTATTATCCTTCAAAAGTTTCTCTCTCTCTTGCAGCCCAAAAGAGCCACAAAAATGTCTGTAAAAATGCAGTTTTCTTTCAAATAGCTTCTCACATCTGTGCTTCCTCTCAAATCCTTGTTTAAACACTCAACTGATATTATCTACCTTGAAGTGTTCTTTCCCCTCAGTAACAAATACCACACACCAAAGGAAGGAAAGAGACAATCTATGGTGCATTCACTAATCAAAACAATTACGACAATTTTTAGGTTACGTCTGGATGGACAACAGTTAGGGCTGAGATGAGTTGTTTTCCTCCACCAAAGTTTCCTGCATGCCTTTTTAATGGAAGGACATCGTAGTGACATATTTTTTTTTATTTGCAGCTTGAAATTATCATTCCTACTGTATCTCTGACACTAAGGCATATTTTTTGCTGAACAATATGTATCAAGCCATTTTAGCTGAAGTTTTTCCATGTCAATGCAATATGACAACATGGATTTTTATCACAGTCTGCTTTCATTATACTGAGATATCATGGTTTTTGGTTTCACCACTGCTTTTAAAAACACTTTTTACACAAATAATAGATCACAATTGGAGATGCTCTCATGAACAAAACACAAAAGGCAGGAAGGAAGTCACTAGTAGGCTTGCATGCTGTTTTGTACTCCCTAAAGTTCAGAGGGTTTTAATTCTTAATTGACTCTTTAATAAAGCAAGTGCTGCTAGGAAAGAATAGCACAGATGTCTTCTTCTATTTGAAATGCATCAATAAAAATGCAAAAAGCACAAAAGATATAAATATTTCAATGTTTTTCTTTCTCTATTATATTCAATACACAAGTGTGTTCCTCTTAAAGCAAGTTGGTGTGATGAATTTTGTAAAGGGAACTCCTTCTTGACTTGATTGAGTTAAATAGGAACTGATTTCAACTCCAAAGTGTCTTTTCGTCTTAAATCTTTGCTATCTCCCAGCCATGCTGATTTGAAGATGTGGTTGACAGCTATTGGAATGCACAAAGCTCTCCCTTGAAATTTCTGTCCCATTGGCCATTTACCAGTCCTCTTCTAGAAATCAAATTAGTGTTTTTTTTTTTTTTTTTTCCAAGATTGATGGCCTGTAAGAAGTGGGAAGGGAATGTTATGGTATAAATAACTGCAGGATGCACCAGTACTGTGTGTACTGAAGCAAATTGAATATGTGCATGCCCATAGGCTAGCAAGGAAAAGTAATAATGTGATTTTGAAGGCTTCCTTTACTGTTTGGTACACAGCATGAGGGCTAAAAAATGTGACACTCCTACGGCATTTCTGCACATAATGGGTCTGCATTTAAAATAGAGCTTTGACTTGGTAAAAAATGTTCACTTAAGCCTTTCTCTAGATAGTTTATTAATGATCTCTCATCTTTGTCTCTGCGTTGTTGATTTTTCTCCCTCTTAATGTCTACTTTTCCACCTTTGTTCCTCCACTCTTTTCTTCACCCTCTCTTCCGTTGGCTTTTCTTTTTTCCTGTTCTCCACTGTGTGTTTATCCATTTAACTATTGTAGCAAAGTACTGCAGTACCCCAGACTCCCCACACCATGGCTCTGTAGTAAGACAGACTGGGGGTCACCTTAACAGCATGGTGACCTGGGCTTGTGACAGGGGGTACAAGCTTATTGGGAAAAGCAAAGCTGAGTGCAAGGAGACCTCCTACGGCTACTATGCCTGGGATGCACCGGTCCCTGCATGTCAAGGTAAGCTCATCATCTCTGGCTTTTCTTCTTTTTTTTTTTTTTTTTGGAATCAGCTAGCTTCTAACTCCAATCTTCTGGTCATTGGCTCTGCAACCCTGTTCTTTGCTGGTGAAAAGACATGCACACAGAGCAAACAAGAGTCTCAGCTTGAATCCTATCCCTGTGCAGTTAGTTGCTGAACTGAATCCAACCTGGTTGAGAGCCAGTTTCCTGTCAGGTGGAAATTAAACAAAAATCAATCTACGCTTCTCTTTCAATTTGCACTTCTTTAAATTGCTCGCTAACTTGCCATCCGTATGTATAGTCTGCTGCTGTTGGGTCCATTGCACCAAATTGTGCTCCTTGATGCACATATGTCAAAATTGTGCATTTGCTGTGGCTCGTGGTTGCGAGCACTAAACGCAGACTCGTACACACTCAAACAGATGTAAACATCAACAGATGGTGCAATCAATTGCATTTTATCTTGATGCAGTGAAATCAAAATATGTATTTTAGAAGATTTAAAAAACATTTTGCACCTGTGATTGATTCCATCAGTTTGCTAATTGAACACATATTTTCCATAGCACGTAGAGCCAGCCATCCCTACTGATGAACTGATATATTCATACAGATGATGCCCATCTGGTATGAGTTTAGATGCAGTAATTATATTGTAGTGATCCCAGGGATTCTAAACAAAACATCGAAATTTTCTGCCATCGGAAGAGAAAAAGTTTATACTGTATTTCATTTATATCCATTTAATTGTCACTAAGCTGGTAGTCTAGATGACTCTTTTTTTATTGTACAAATGAATGTAATCTGACCCTAGATACAGTAACTAAACCATATCAGTCAAATATCCTGCTCATTTTCTTTGTGTTGAAACTGATAGACACCCTGAAAGTGACTTGCTCAAGCTTATTGTTGGATCTTATTTGTAAGCCTAGAGTTACCCAGATCTATTTGTCTCTTTCCAGTTCTATAGTGTCTGATTGCCTCCTACTTTTGTAGGTTAAAAATTTTGAAAGTAGAAAGTTACCCAGCTGGTGTAGGAATTGTACTCATGCTCTAACACAACAGTAAAGTGCCTTTCAACGAAGTTTGATATTTTTACATTTTGGTCCATCACAACCACAAACCTGAATGTGTTGTATCAGTATCTAATGCAACAAAACCCATAAAATAGCACATGATTAGGTAGGAAGTTGTTTTTGGTTTTTTTGGTTTTTGGTTTTTACTTAACAAAAAGTGTCTGAAAGGTGTTTTGCATACATGGTCGCCATCACTCTTACAGCCTAGAAGATGATCAGCCAACTTTATTTGAATTCAGCTGCTGTGGGAAGACCTCAGAGTGTTCTGAGACAACTGGGAGGGTTAGTGACATTGCAGAGAGGAACATAGCTGGCATGTTAGTTGTGGTGAAGTTTTGCTTGGAGCAGGGTGAGGTAATAAAATAGAAAGAGTACTGCACAACTGAAAACCTAAGATCATGGTTGTCAAGCAGAGCATTTTTGTAGGAGCGGCACAGATCCTAATATCTGGTTCTAGAATCTGTTGATGAAACAACTAAACATTTGAGCCTAGATTTAGCTCTGCTTTCCTAAATGTGTTCTTATATTTGAACATCATAATATCTATTTCTAAGCAGTGAATTCTCAATTAGATTGCACACCCTTATGTATTTTATTTATCCTCTTTATCACTTTCTGTTTGTCTACCTCTTAAAACTTTATGAGCAGGTTAAAAGACCCACAGGCTGAATACATTTATACAACAATCAAACGTGTGAAGTGAAAAAAAGCACTGGCTATCCACCGACGCTATTATAAAAGAAGGTGTTGAAGCTGGATGGTGTTCTCGGAAATGTAACACTTTGAAATAGAAGTTTTGACAGGTGCAACTCATTTAGTTTATGATATAACTCAGTTCTATTTAGTGCTTCACTAAGCCACCGCATTGAGGAATCAAGCACAGTACCAGGGCACTGGCTCTGACTCAATTTACTTCAGTGGTGATGTTATTAATGTTGCTAATTACACATGAGCTTTCCCTGCTGTGATATCTTGAAGGGTCTGCCATGAATGAGGTTGGATGTCAAATATCTACACCAGCTGGTTGGTGCAAAATGAGTAATTATATCTTGTTAAATTTTTACTCTCTGTAACTGTTATGCTCAGAAAGTAAAGGAAATAGCTTCTTATGTTATTAAACCTGAAAGTTGTTTGTGTCCTGCAATAGCCTACATGTGTGTTTTCCTGCACGGAAATAAAGCTGTCAAGCTGACGTGTATCTGTTCTAGGAGTCTATCTAATACATGTCTTCTGCTCTGCATAAACATGTGCTGAAAATGGTCCTCTTGCCGCCTCTAGCTGTGTCATGCGGTGTGCCTAGTGCTCCAGCGAACGGAGGTGTGCTTGCTGCTGATTACTCCGTCGGCACACGGGTGACCTACTTCTGCAACAGCGGCTATCGGCTCTCCTCCAAAGAACTGACGACCACAGTCTGCCAGCCAGACGGCACCTGGAGCAATCACAACAAGATACCCCGATGCATCGGTGAGTGCAAGAGGCTGCATGGAGGACTGAAACGGAGGGGAAGGATGGAGTGGGATTAATGTGCAGTAAGAAGCTAAGAGACAATCATAGGAATTAATTTTATTTGAATGAAGAACATTCATAAATCTTTCCAAATGTATTGACTGCTATAATCTTGATGAACCTCCCTGTGGTTTCCTTATGAAACCTTGTGGGGAATGATAGTTTAACAAAACTCTGTCATAAAATCATGGAATAGATCTATAATGGAGAAGACAATGATTTAAACATCTATTATAAAACATTAACTTTCTGAAATATGATGACAATTTTGAATAATAGTTTATATGAAATCTGTGGTTCACAGTCGGGTAAGAAGTTGAAATTGCAGTGCCATGAGAGCAAATCTTGATTAAAACTACTGTTTTCTCTGTGCCAAAGCAGAATTTTAAAATAATCTATTGGATTAGATTGAAATTTAGATTGTTTTTCAGGGTTGGTATATTTCTCTGCATTTAACGTCTTTATTCTTATTTGTTTTTCCACTTCCAGTAATGTCCTGCCCCAGCCTTAGTTCCTTCTCTCTGGATCATGGGAGATGGAGAATAGTCAATGGTTCGCATTATGAGTATGGAACTAAAATAATCTTTACCTGCAACCCTGGGTATTATCGTGTTGGCCCCGCCCACATCCAGTGCCTGGCCAATGGAGCATGGAGTTGGAGAAATGAGAGACCTCGATGTAGAAGTGAGTACTAAATACAGGGCCATTGAAAAGCTCTCTTATTTCATATTTTGACACCAAGTATATATATATATACTTTTGGGGGTATCTTTAAGCTTTAGGTATTCCAACTTCCTTGTGCTATGATACCCAACCACCCTTACAGATATTTTGGATGAATGATAAGTTTTTAAAACATGTTATTTTTGTAGTAATCTATTTCTCATCCATTTTAGGAGTAGCAATAAAAAAAATGTTTTTAAGGTGTTACAAGCATTCCTACAGTATTACATTTATGTTGTTTTATCACATCCGAATGTAGGGCTGGGTATTTTCGCCAAAGTCCTGAATCGATTTGATTTTGATTCATGCAGTTCTAACTTGATTAATTTCAATTCGATCTGTTTTTACACTAATGAAAGTGGTTCAACTGTGTTTCAAAATACTCGTGTATTTAATTTTTTCTTGTCATATTAAACACAATGTGCAAACTTGTAAATCGGACAGTTTAAACTTAAGATGTGAACAAAACTGTCTCAAAACTGCAAACTTGTTTGTAAAAAGTGGAAAGGCCTCACTTAAGCAAGCAGACGTGACACAGCGGGGACACAGCAGACATGCATGAGCTGCATTATCTTCACTGCACAAACCATATTTGCAACGTGTCTGAAACAACTACAGGGTGTTTGCTGGTCAGCCCCCATTTGTTAATGTCTTTAGTCAACCTATTCGCTATATTTGCAGCTGTCTGGCTTGAAGTACTCTTTAGTGCATCTTTCCTACTCATTTGAACGTGAACGCCACGCCCGTCACTTTAAAGCTAATTGATCTCATTCCCTAGACATCGATTTTGCAAAAATGTAAAGGAATCGATTCAAAACCGATTAAATCGATTTTTTTACCCAGCCCTATCCGAAGGTTTGTAAAGTAGCTGTTTAATACTGGTATGAGCACAGAAAAGACCTTTGAACCTTAGGAAAATAAATACTTTTTAATATGCTGTTGTAGGGAGAGTTGGGTGTGGATTCCCTATAAATTATGTAGTCATGATGATTCACAAACTGCAGTCAGTTTGTGATTAGCTTCAATTCACTATCAACTATGTGGACCTGCATTTAGGATGTTGCAGCAGTATTGAGCAATTTTTCCTACATTTGAAATATTTTTTATATAAAATATTATGGAAAAAATCTTGTTATCAACAAATATTTAAAGTTGGTTAAAAAGTTGGTTATATGTACTGGTTTCTGTCAAAATATTAAAACCTTTGTCAGATTTACATGCATTATGTTTGGACTATTTTGTCCATATTTTCTGTTAAAATTATTATGTTAAGTTGAATGTTTTTTTAGTTTTTTTATTTATAAGATATACCAATGTCACACATCACCTTACATAAAAAAATGGTTGATTTTAGTATATTTTACAAGGCTTCAGCAACGTGTACCATTTCCTATATTTTAGCGAAGCATTATCCCTCTGAAAAACTCTTGTTTTCTTCACGTATTTTGCTCCCAGTCAGTGTTAGATATTGTTTATTGCATTAAAGGACCCAGACGCTTTTTTTTTGCTGCCATGGGAACTGCATTTTTTTGAGGCAAAGAGCTGAATGGCTTGTGTAATGGCAGAACAAGATGCCAGCAAATGTGATGAAAGATGTTTGGACAAAGGAAAACACCATCATTATCTTCCCTGTGAAATAGTACAGGTCAGCTTTTATTGCATTAAGGTCGGTAAGATGGGTGTAAATGACTGTGCTCTCCCATTGACTCTAGATGTAAGCCAAGCTCCACCTCATCCTTTATTCTGGCTTTTTATGTTACTCACTCTTCTGGTTTCTCCTCTACCTCCCTTCCTCTTCTTCTACCATCCTTTTTATCATATTGCAGTAATTTCCTGTGGCGATCTTCCTACTCCTCCTAATGGGAAGAAAATCGGGACGCAGACTACCTTTGGAGCATCAGCTATTTTCAGTTGTAACCTTGGTTATATGTTAACCGGATCTACAGTAAGAGAGTGTCTTCTGTCTGGCCTTTGGAGTGGGATGGACACACAGTGTCTGGGTAAGCACGTTCTAAATGTTCTTGACCTAGGTCAGAGACGGTTGGCACGCTTTTTAGACTGAATATGAGCTTCTTTGGTTGGGCAAACTAGAAAAGAAACAGATGGTGAACCAGTATGCGGCTATAATTGCCTCTGTTGCCATGAGTATACGGCCAGTGTCTGGAAGATTTTACTTTTTATCATCCACTCTTGACATTATTTTCACTCTGAGGCCTCTGTTACACTTTATGCTGTTACAGAGGCCTGCAGAGAAAGTAATGAACCATTTGTTTTCCAAATATTCAAGCACCTTCAACAACTACCTGCAGAGATTTAGATTACCACTATATGTAATGCTGCCTACATGTATTCCCCCCTGAATTCATGTTTGTAAAGTTTATAATGTAAAGTATAGCAGCAACCCAGCTCAATCAGTTGAACATTTTTCAAGATATACTCGACCAGTTTTTAACTGAGTTTGAGTATTTATGTATGGCAGCCTTGTTTACTCTAACTTATTACATCTTTACATTCTCAGAAAAACAAAACGTATGAAGTGTTGTCATGTTACAACCATGCATTCGGTTTATTTTATTGGGATTTTGTGTGAGACAAACACAAAGTAGCTCATACTGTATGTGAAAGAAAAGGAAACATGGCTTTCATTTGTGGTTCGAAAGGAGATTGTGAAAGGTGTGATGTACGATTTTGCAGAACCAGTAACCTTCAGAAGTTGTCTTTGTTTGTAGATAGGTTCTACCAGTGTGTGTGTGTGTGTGTGTGTGTGTTTTTTAGCTCAGTTTAAATTCAGCTCTTCTATGAATACCTCAGGGGTTTCCTGAAAAAAAATAATAAACAGCTTCAAAAAGACCAAAGAACATAAACCACATGTCAGATCTACACATTAAAGACATGCTTTCAACACATTTAAGAGCACCATTTAATCCATCAGCTGAAGATGAAAGGAGTACGGCCCAATTGCAAAAGTCACCAACACAATGCCGTAACTGAACTGAAGCTGAGCAGAAATTATTTAGAGACTCTTTGTAACTTTGGAGATGCTGCAACCACAACCTCCACAATGTTTAGGGAACCTGGTCAGAGTTGATTTGAAGATGAATGGAGCTCTTCTTAGGGTAATCTTTAAAGAAAAACTCAGGGGCTGCACAAGGTGCTCCTGTTAGATAAGACCATGTAGACCAATACCTTTTAATTCTTTTGGTCTCCATGCAAAATGCTTATTTGCATTATCTGAACATAAGAACAATACAGTAACACACAGTTATATGATGGCATCATCAAGAGTTTTTTTTTTCTCTCTCTCTCTTCTCAGCATCAACAAGGAAGCTGGTCAGGGTTGATTATTAAACAAATTTTTTTCTCAGAGAAAAGAAAGTATCAGCCATCCTTTTATGTTGGTTGATGTCGAGGGAGGACTAAATACAATTGTTACATTTTTATTAGTAAAAAAAAACTTTTTTCAATGTCACAAGTGTACAATAACTTGTGTTTGTGCATTAATTAAATCTAATAACCTGTGTTAATTAGTCGTGATTCTAACACGCCACAATATGAAAATAACTCACTAATGTTGAAGCACAGTGTAGGTATTCCTGACATTAGTTGAATTAGTCACTTTAATAAGTGTGTAGCACCAATTCTTCAGGCTTAGTTTTTTTTTTGCTTGGCTTGTAATCAGAATTGTGAGGTTAACATAGCCGAGCACCTTCTGATAAAGTCACCTCCTTAAGCACTATCTTCACAGAATCACGCTTCTCTCGAACGGAGTGTGGTGATAAAATGCTCCACTGAAATTCTGTGTGCTGGATTGAATTAGGGAAATAATGTTTCTCAGATTTAAAAGGGCAGTGGAAATATCAGCAAGTGATCTTTTCAAAAAAAAAAAAAAAGAGGATTGTCATTTGGAAGCAGAATTTGCCAAGATTTTCAGTGATTTCAGATGTGCTTTAACCTCTATAGCAGGTTAGACAGGCATAGTGTTCAAAACTAAGGCCAACTGAGAATAAACTCTTTATTTAACATGTCAGGAATATTAAACTGAAGTATGTTTTCAAAATGCATTACATGTTATGACCAAACTAATTTAACCAGCCTGCATTAAAATTCATAGACCTTTTACGAAATATCCCCCCTCATTTCAGTTTCTTACATTACTTTCAAAATTGTATTTAAATGTGAAAGTTTTATCAGAATTGCATTTATACCCTTCAGCTATCATCCATTAGTAGTTGACCAGGGTCAATTGCTCTCGCTGATGGAAAGTTGAACAGACTGACTGCTCCACATGAATGATTGAGGGCAGCTGCATTTGTTGTTTTCAAGTTCGTTTTATTTCCTGCAAAAAGAGCACCACCTTATTAGTGGATTTTTTCCCCTTATATATTACAGCTAGTAAACTGCAAATAATAGTTTTTATTTTTGTTTTGCATAGAAAATGTACTTCTGCAAAACAATAAATAAAGGAAACCATAAAGGGAAATCAGACTAAATGAATTAGCAGGAGGAAACGGTTAATATGGTGTTTTTAATTCTTCCACAGCTGGTCACTGTGGCATCCCTGAGCAAATTGTGAATGGCCAGGTTATTGGAGAAAGTTTTGGCTATAGAGACACAGTGGTCTACCAATGCAACCCCGGGTTCAGGCTCATAGGATCTTCTGTGCGAATCTGCCAGCAGGACCACAACTGGTCTGGACATCTCCCAGTTTGTATATGTAAGTACAGTACTGCACTGACACAGGCTTACTCACCAACTGTGGTTCTGCATGTCTAAATGTTCTAATGATTACTTGTGAGTAACAAGTTGGACAACTGTAATATAATGCAGATAAATGTTTAAAGCACAAATGGAATTTCAATTATTAGGAACTGAGCAATTGCTTTGCTCTCCCAGTAACTACTTCTCTTTAGAGACAATTGTATAGTATAAAACCATTTGACCCTTTTTCTGTCTTCATGATGGTCACATCAGAGCGTTAGAGGGAAGTATAACAAACCGACAGCTGTAGGCGTCCAATACAAACCAGCAGAGGATCATCCACACAATGAGCTTAAATTTGGTTTTTAGTGTCCAGAATTGGCAGAGTACAGACAATTAGAGACTTTATTCCATACCTGCTGCCACTGCCAAACAAAAAAAAGATGGCTCTGGTTAAAAGCTATAAAATGGAAAAAATAAACTGCTCTCGTATGCAACGCACAATTCTAACCAGTTAGAGATTAAATATCGTCTTTCGCTGCTACAGATTATGTTTTGTTTGTCACCCTGCTATGTAGTTGCAGTTTACCATCAAAATATGACTGTTTCTTCTGTTTACAATGATCCACGCCGTGGTTGTTTTCTGGACTTGGTGCAACTAGGTAGAACTTGAGAATTTCAGTTGTGTACAGGTTGACTTATCTGCTTCCCTCCTTAAAAGTTATCTTCTTTAAATCCCGGTCTTTAAATCTTACATATTCAGATAAATCAGATTTCCTACAGCTGTATTTTGGTTTTAAGAAGCTAACAAAACTTGTTAGTTACCATTGTTAAAGTGCTCTGGGGAATCGTTTTGCCTCCAGCTAAGCCCCGCCCACAGAAATACTTCAAAAAACAGTCTTGGGAAGTCCATTCACAACATTTATTTGAAGTCTTAATGATTGATTTTGGCAAAATATATATATATATATATATATATATATATATATTTAATGGAACTGACATCTACCTTTACCAACTTCCACACCAAAGAGTGTTATTGTTAACATCAGCTGATCAGATTTAGCTTCACTGAAATCACCTCTTGAAAAAAAATCTGATTTCTGATTTTCTCGCAAACAGATCAACTTTAAGGGCTGATCAGGTTAAAAAATGTTTCAGTGAACCTCCCATTTTTTTGTGTTAGTTATACCTCAAGTGGTTCTATTTTTTGTTAAAAAACTAAAATTTGTATTCAAAACATGAACAGTTAATGTGAATATTAATCTCCTTATACTTTTGAACTGAAATTTGCCATTATACTTGTTCATGACTTGAATTCTTATCCCCTCATTACCTCTGAGTTTTATTATGAGTATGATGACAGGTGGCAAATTGTGTGACCTTAATTAATAGTGTCGATCCTTTGCTGTTTTATCTGCAATGCTTTTTTATGCTGTCTTTCCAACACGTACCTTCTTGATGTTTGTCAACTCAGCCGTCACTTGTGGCCACCCTGGCAGCCCTATTTATGGCCGTACCACAGGCGATGGCTTCAACTACAATGATGTTGTGCGCTTCTCCTGCAACAAAGGCTACACCCTGGAGGGACCCTCTACAGCTCAATGCCAGGCGAACCGCCAGTGGAGCCATCAGCCTCCGACATGCAGAGGTAAGGTCCCTGCCACGGAGTGCCTGCAGAATTTATAACTACCTGCCAGTCTGAAAGCATTAAGGTATCAGAGGGACACGTTTGCACTTTGATGGTTGAGCTCCGCTGTCTCCACTATATCTGTTGTTGGCATTGAATGCATTGTTTTTGGGTGTAAAACAAACCAGAATAAAAAAAATGAAAAGGGTTTTGATTAATTAGACACAGATTAGGCATCTTATTTACCATCCAAAATGGAGACATTTCAATGAGCAGAGTATTACACCACCTAAAGCTATTTCATTTGTTTGTGTTGTTTTTTTCTCAATAACAAAGGCCACTTTTATCTAATGCTTCTCTCTGTGGGTAGGGCTAGCCAAAAGGAAAGCAGGTAGCTGCCAGATAACAGAAATAGGATCCAGGCAAAGTGCAGGAGCAGAATGAGGAAGGCTTTCCAGGTGTTGTGGGATTATTCCCTTATCTGAAGCAAGGGTAGCTGCAAGAATGATACATCCTGCAGATGTGTCAAAATCCTTCACCAATCAGTAGAGAGCAGCTGGCACCTTGTTCTGACGTAGGCAAATAAATAAAAATCCTTCTTAAAAATAAATATCGGCTATTTATATACAAAAATATTTATATTAACAAAATACATTTGTATAATTTTTTTTCAACAGCTTGTATTTGGTCAAGTGGCATGAAATTGTTATTTATATTATATTCTGGATGGAATGCATTGCAGACATCCTGGAATAACTCCTAAACAGTGATTTAAACTGATTTACCTTCATGGGGGGTTTTGTTCCATCTTCTGCACATATTTTTCTCTATCTTGGATTTTGCAGCATATACTTAAGATATAGATGATGAGGCCTAACCCAATAATTCTCTTGTGCATAAAAAGGTTTCTCTGGTTTTATATACTGCTTGTAAGATATTTCTGATACCCCTTTATGTAATTTGCTTTTAATTATATAAAAGAAAAACTTCAAATAGCTGAATCACTGTTTAATGTTGATAAAGTTTTCATTTATAATGGATCCACTGTAGCTGCGACTTCATAAATTTGCTGTATTATGAACTTGTGAAGCGGATATTGGACAGAGCAACAATAATTCATTGAGACAAACCTGTCTTGTTGACTTCAGTTTTGTTGGCACTTATTCATTAGGTGATACAGTTTTATTCAAGTGAATAGACCTGCAGAGACAGATCTGCTAAAGGAATACAGCAGCATCATATGACGCTAACATGACTATCTTTGTCAGAAAATGCACCAAGACATTAGTCCCACATGAGGCAGAGATTTGTCACTTTTTAAAATTTCGATGGCACTTTGGAATAACTTTATCTGATTTCAGCTGATCAACCTTGTCAGTAATGAAGTTATGTAGAGTACTTCTACTTTTTAAATCACTTTTTTTTTTCTTGCAATAGACAGTATATGTTAATTTTGTTTTCATGACAAACTATTATAATTGACAGTGCCTAATATAGCCTGTGCTTATTTTTCATTCTGTTTATTGAATAAAGAAAAAGCCACTGTTTAGGTCAAGTTGACAGCTCTATTTTTAACCAGCAAGTGTACGTGCTGACAGATAACATTTATGCAAATTAGGATCCAAGCGAAAACGGTGTGAACAGTTTCCAGGAAATATCCCTTGTGAAATGGGTAGTCGGATTTAGACAGATAGCCATATACTACTTTATCTTTTCACTAAATGCTATTTTAAAGAGAAACAATTCCTAAAGAATTGCTCTTTTATAGCAGCTTAATACAAGAGGTGCAGTAAAAACAGTCTAGCTCTATCTACCATATCAATTCAGTCAAACTGGTTTCAATGTAGCATATGTATGTATAAGTTGAAGTATTTGTAAGATTACTTTATTAGATAATCTTTTGGGCAAATCGATACACCTTTTTAGCAGGCACTGTGTGAAAGCTGACGTTTGTGCATTCCTCCTCTGCTACAGAGCTGCACTGTTACCACTTCTGCCTGGAAAACAAGCAGACACATCCTGTACTGATGCTGTTTGCTCTAATTTAAATGAGGCAATATAGAAGCATTTAGGGGAAAGTCCATCAATGTTTGGTTATTTATGTAAATTACAGCCAGAGTTAATTGCAGTCGTAAAGACTAGAGCTCTTTACATAGATTGGGAGGAAAAAAACTGATATAATGCTAAAGCCCTTTATTGCAGAGAGGAAGAAAGTGTGTGAGTATATATATATATATATATATATATATATATATATATATATATATATATATGTATATATTTATAAACATCAACCCTAAGGCCGAAACACTTAATAGGATTAATTGTGACTAATCAATTGAAATAAATGTCATCTAATTTAATAATGGATTACTTAATAACTGGAGTATAGAGATTCTTAAACATGCCTTTAGGTGACAGAGTAATCAACTTAGAGCAGTCATTATATAAAAATTTTACAAGAAATATATAGACATTTTTCATTTAAGATAAAAAAAAAAAAAACATTTCACCTGTCAATATGCTCTATCCAGAACTCCTTTGGTGGAAACTTTCTAGTTTCACCTGGTTTAATTTTGTAAAAAATATTCTTTCAGGTACCTTTGGCTATCTGATTATTAATCTATTTTTTGAAATAATCAACAGATTATTCGATTTGCAAAATAATCCCTAATCAACACCCCTTCTTGCATCGAAATGTTTACACTAACTCTGAGTTCTCCCTCATACACTCAACTGTCTTGATTGCTTTAAGTAATGCAGCATCAGGTCAATATTGTTTGTTTAAAATACTAATTCCAAAAATTTAAAGAGTTGTCTCTATATTGCTGATTACTTCTGCAGTGGCTGTATTGGAGGCTGAAGAAAACTGTTAATTGATAGGAGCATAAGTAAAGCAATCAGTGCATGCAAAAGAGTCTTTAGATTGGACTGCTTTGTGAATTCACCCCTTTGCATCTTTTATAGTCAGAGTGTAAACATATACGCACCATATGGTTCACTGTGCCATAATGACAACAAAGAAAGAGTTGGTTCATTTGAATAAGCTAGGTTTAAAATCAACACAACAGAATGCATAGGCATTTGAACTAAGAATGTTTTCTGCTTTGATAATGCACTTTAAACAGCACATGAAGTGGATGTTTAAGAAAAGGGTCAAGTTATGAGAACTGTTAAGGATAAACAGCAGACACAATTAAGTGGGCCTGTATATATCATATGAGCTGCAAAAAACTCCAAAGACAACAGAGTTGAAGGGCCATTTTACTCATAATTGGTGTTTATTTTGCTTGAAAACTGATTTCAGTATAAAACATTATTTTAATTTCTATTTTTGCTTTCTAACTTGCTAAACATATTTTAAACATCTTAAACTTTAGGAAGGTTAATATTTTGACAGCATTCCCTCCTTTTTATCCACAGTGGTTAACTGCACAGATCCCGGGATCCCTGCCAACTCTATCCGAGAGAGTAAGATCGAACATGGGAACTTCACATTTGGCAGTGTTGTGTTCTATGATTGCAACCCTGGATATTATCTGTTCGGCTCATCCGTGCTCACCTGCCAGCCAATGGGTCAATGGGACAAACCGCTTCCAGAATGTATTGGTAAGCTGGAGATTGAATTCAGAGAGACTAAGGATTCAGGCATGTCTTTCATCATGTTTCAAATCTTGTAGGTCAAGCCTCTAGAGAAAAAGCAAACAACCTGCAGCAGAATGAGCGGGTTAAAAATCATAGAAATATTTTTGCTAGTTTTGCAGGTGTTTGTGACACTATTTTCATGTTGATTAGTGTCTACCAGCTTGATTGTGTGTTCGTCTGTGTGCACAAGTGTCATGCCTGTCTGCAGGTCAGGGTAAAACTCCACTGCAAATGATACGGAGAGGGGTGGGTGATCCTCCTTTACAGTATACCAATGATGTCTAACACTACTGAGCATCTTCAGCTTTGTTCTGTTCACTTTCCCTCAAGTTTTAAAGGTCAAAGCTTCTAAGCCTGCTTAGTTGTTATATCTGTTAAAACTTTTTAATACACTTCTTAAAATGCTAACTCAAAGCCAAGCACTAAACTCAAAACAACAGTGTTGTTAGAACTGCAATGATTTCCTTGATGTATAATTCTGCACTCGAACCCTTGGGTTATTATGCATTCTGTTTATGCTTGAGCTTACCAACAATAATCACCTATTTCCTTTGAAATTATCTGAAGTAAAGCTCTACATTTTCCACACAGCCTGAAAAAGGCACTTAATTTCATGGTAGAGAGACGAAGCTCATCATTTATTTTATCAAACCAAATTCTAATTAAAGAGGCACACAGAAGTGTCTGTCACGTGTTTAGAAACTTGCTTCAGGCATCATTGACAGTTTGGTTATGGTTAGTTTTGACTGAATTATAAAAGCTTCCTGCGCTTTAGAGACTAAGCAAGTTCAACAGCATCTTAGACAAAATGCAAAACAGCTTAGACAAAAGTCTATATATTACAGCTTTGTTTATAAAATGTTAAGGAAAAAAGTTGTGAAATTATAAAAACTTTGGAATAAGATTTTTTTTTATTTAACAAGACCTAATATTTAAGAAAAAGGCAATGTTTTTCTGATTTCTATTTGGTAAAATATTGTGTCTATATGAAGATAGAGAAGCTACCTTGTGGTATGAGTGAAACCTCTAAACTCTCAAAGCACTTTCTAAAACACTGCAAGTAAAAATACTTCAGATAAAGTGCACAAGACTTATTTCAATCCTTAAATAAATGTTAAACCTCAGCAATGGGTCTCTATTATTGCATGGCTTGGATCCCATAGTATTCACCATTTATACGACAACTGGAGACATTGAAACCTACAGCCAGATAAGTAGCTGACACAACCTTAGGTATCAGAAATCCAATTTTTTGAATAATTACATCCAATTAAATATGCATCATTTTTACTTACTGTCCCCAACAGTTTCATTTGTCTGTGAAGCAAAAAGCAATACAGTTTTTCATGCATTGTTTCAAATTGCAGAGCAAATATATTCATTCAATAACGAACTAAGATAAGTTAACCGACTAAGCTGAGTGCAGGAGATGTAACATCTTGTTTTAGTTTCTTCTCTTTGAAGGAGAAAATGATAGATACTACATTAAAGCGACAAGTCTGGGCTTTGATGTCACTTCCTTTTTGCAAAGAGAATGGAGGCTGACAATTCTGCCTGAACATAAATAGTGGTACTAAATTTGGAAAAATCCCAAAGTCAGCAGCCGCCTTGTTATACTTTCTTTTAGCAAGCTTTGTGATTCTTAAATAGGACCGTGCTCAGTTATTCTATTAAACTATCCTTTAGAGAATAACATTTGTTTTACAAATCAGTTGAAACCTTCACATTCTCACATTATGACCTTACAGTAATTTAGCAGGAGTGCAGAAAAATAAACCCTCAGTGAGCCTGAAGATGAGAGGGGCTGGTGTGTGTTGTTAAAGCAAATACATCAATGAAAAAGATGTTCTGGACTAAACCAAAGCTTTGATAAAAATAGCTCAGTTGTGCAGGTATAAAGGAACAAACAACTTAAGATTGATGGAGTGACAGGCTTTACTGAGGACATGACACTTAGGAAGCATTTAAGAATGACGGTAATCAGAAGGTTGCAGTCTAAGCTTTATTGAACATGTTTATTAGTAGCATAGAGGTAAGTAAAACAATTTCAGTTTTTTTTTCAAAGTCAATCAGGTACAGATACAATATCTTAGAATCTAAGTAATTTTGTTATTATGAAGGTTTTTTTTAAGGGAAAAATTTCCTGAATTTCTCATAAAGGTTGAATGTCTTGCAGAAGTAAATATATCCCTTTAATTTTTCCAATTTTTTTTTTACATTACCAGCCCAAACTTTAATGTATGTCATAAAGATTTAAAACCGAAGATCAAAACAAAATCCCCATTTTAGACATTACCCCCCCCCCAAAAAAAAAAAAAAAAAACAATATTCAGTGTTTCATCTGGACTGTATGACACCTAATGCATCTCACCAATAAGTTCATGTCACTAACAATATAGCTCTTTTTGGGGGCTCAGCTCCCTCAGAGCTCTATTGTATGCTATTTGTCTTCTGACGATGAGAATGCTCAACTTCAAACCGCAAAGAGGCAGACAGTAACTTTGGAGGAGATGCAGAGATACAGTACCTAACTTAGGAGATATAATCTACTTTCACAAAGGTCAGCTGTGCACAGCATAAATTTGGCCTTTGTAGAAGCAAAAGCTTTTGAAAATCCCATTGACATTTTGAATCAAACAAGCAATATTTAATTTTCATTTAATACAAATTTTGAACTTATGTTTTATATTCTTTGCACCACAAAAATTCTAGGTGACAAAATGTGACAGTTAAATTTCAAAGGGTTTACAGTATATACGTTTGCACCACACTGTGGAAGTCATATACATACAGTAAGAGGTTGAAACCTCAATAGTAACATTTTCTCTTACAAATCCACCCCGACAGAAAATAAAAGCATTATTAACATTAGAACTTTGACATGACAATTTAATGGCCGATCCACGTTATTTATATGATATTACTGTAGTGCAGGGTCTTAGGAGCAGAGCTCTTTAATGTTCGAGTTAGACTGGTACCCACAGTATATATCAAATAGTAGCATGGATGTGTGCTCTAATTGCCTCTTCTATTCAAGCATTTATAGAGCTTAATCAAAATTTAAAGCAGTTTATTAGAAGGGGGTCTTGTATATTTCAAAGAGATCTACATTATGTTCTGTGCTGTAGAATGAGCTGGAAAAAAGGATACTTTTTTAAACTTACAAGTAACAATTTATCAGTAGCGTGGTAATTCTTCATGTGTTTTTTTTTTCCATTGAAAAATACTATGTGTGTAGAAGTAAACTGGGATGTTTAATCAAATGTGTAAAGTATTCAGAAATAATCCAAGTTGTGCCCCCGTTCCTCCATGCAGAGGTGGATTGCGGCCACCCAGGCACCCCACCCCATGCAGTGATGATCGGGGAGAAGTTCACATTTGGTTCCGCAGTACACTACTCCTGCCGAGAAGACCGTCAACTCATTGGAGACTCATCACTTACCTGCCAAGTGAACGGACACTGGAGTGGTCCACTGCCCCACTGCTCAGGTAAGCTGACCTACAAAAAGCACTTTTTGGTAGATTACACCCACACCACCAAAGCTGATCTATGATCTTTTATATGTTACCCTATTGAAAATTTTGAGTAAAAATATCATAAAGTATCACCTCTCTTGAGTGAAATTTCTGGCTCCTCAAGCCATCGTCAGTAACTTCACTTAATAAAAACAAGCTTGTTTTAAACAGTTACGAACCACTGAGACACACCTTCTTCTGGTTTTCATTCAAGGGTTCTTGCTTAAGTGTAATTTTCCATATGCCAAGTCTGATTTGTCAGTCGGAGACTCTGTGAAAATACAGGAAACAGTATACTGTTATCTAATCTATACTTCATACTGTTACTGTTGATTTTGTAAGTTTTATAACTGAAGAAGTATTAAATTGGTTGTTATGATCATGGGTAGTTACTGTATTCGATCAGTAATTGAGTAGTTTTTTAAATCTAAGTTGAGTCATTTCTTTATAGGCTACTTACTCACTTACTTAAAGGTATAGTATACTTCTGGACATGCTGTACCCGCTCCCAAGAGGGAATGCCCATAAAACGTGTGCAAGAGCATGCACAAGCCCATTCCTCCTCGTCCACAATCAGTTTAAAAGTTGCTGTTTGCATTGCTCATACAAGCTTACTTTCCAAAAGAATATTTGCAATTTTTCCACTATGTCAGACTCACCACTGGTAAGTGAAAATGGGGACGAGCACATAGGATGACCTTACATAAACATATCACCAGAATGATTGACAATGAGGAGTACCACTTAGATTATTAAAATTCATTAAGAAACATCCTCCACTATACATTTAAGTAACATTTTTGGGTGCTCTACCCACCTCTGTCACGTATTAATAATGCAACTAAAAATGCCCTTTATCTCTGAATAGAAACAAAAGGGGTATCATTGCCATGAGACTAAAGCTGTCTGTACAAACACCTTCAAATGAATTGTGGAACTACTGTAGCTGCTCACATGTATAACTAATAATTGTGTTTGTTTCTCAACTCAAAAATTGTGTCTCAGTAGCTGGAAAACCTGCAGTATAATGGTGTCAAGCTTCTCTTAGGGAAAAGTTCATTTAGCAGTGAAATTCTCCTAAACGGCACCACAATGAAGTAACAGTTTGGCTGCATTGAAAACCACTACTATAATATGAACAAACTATTGTGAGTCTGTCTGTGGTATTCAAAGAGCTCTGTACCCAGGTTTCTTAGCATGCAAACTGAGCCAATTTGATACCATCAAATAATGCACAATAGATCTGTTTTCCTGTTTTAGATGATTCCCTTCCGTCCAAAAATATTTGACCTTTTACTATCCACAAACTCACCGTCTACTCAAAAAGGTTTTAACATTTTCAAGCTGGCACTCCTGTGGTTTATCTAATGCATTTGGCAGATGACTGTTTGAAAAAGAACAAAATAGGGAAGCAGTGCCAGCCAGCAACTGCAAACCTTTGTTCTTTATGAGTCGGTTAAAAGGAGTCTTTACCTTGAAAAAATATGGACAGTGGAAGACCTGAATCTAGATTAGTTACAGAGGATGCTTTGAAAGTACTCTATAAATCTTTGAGACCAACTACATGAGACCTAAACAAAAAAGTTTCACTTATTCCGCCTGGTGTTTAAAGCACGAGAAAAGGATCTCATGATGTAGAACTGCTACCCCCAGCCGCTTTCGTGCCTCTTCCTTCTCATCACACTTAAACAATCCTGACCATCTAAGTGGATCTTTTTCCCTGAATCTTCACTTGGTTTGTTTAACTTACTGACCCAAGAGTAATGTTTGTTACCGGACTTGAACGATAGTTCTTTTCTCTTTGTCAAAGGTCAGTTCAGTCTCTCTTCAGACTTTATATGTTTTGGATTAACTCTGGCAGTTTGAGAGTACAGGATCTTAAGATACCAAGGAAAAGCTCTTGATTGTATCTGTTCAAATTTATCTTGCAGTCAAAGCTGTCCACACATTTCTTGCTGAAGAATGACACCCAGTGACAAAATCATGGGCTTCAAAGGCTCGTTAATATCACTGGGGAGCAAAGTCTGGCGCATATAGCTCCATCCTACCAAAGATTAACAGCGGCACAATTTGCTGAGTACCCTATTCCCACTGTAGTAGAAAGCACATCACATGTAAAATCTTTACACACATCACTTGTTTTCTCTAACCGAATGAAGCCATCTTTCCATGTCAGATAGTTAATGGTAAAAATTATAAAGTTATGTTTTGCATGACAACTCAAGTTTCTAACATTTGCATAGATTACTTTGATATTTACCTTCCTAATTTAATATTGTTACACACCGGTCACATCCTATCAAAGCGTTAGATTTTCAAAACGACAAGTTTCTAGTTTATACCAGTGACTTGGCCGTCCCTCAGGCCAGACCAATTATGTTTCTAAGGGACAGAGAAGAGATATGGCTCACCTCACAGAGTTCAGGCCTTTTAGTCTACAGGACAGCTTAGGGCTCCAGAGGGTAACCAACCTGCTCTCTGACTGAAGGTCTATCATGTGTAAATGATTTTTACTATTTTAGTTGGTCTGCAGAGCAAAGCATTTTGCATCTCTTTTACTATGCAAATCCAGAATGTTCAATTCTCTCCATACAACGTAGAGAAAGAACAAACAAAATATGATCTCCTTCCACTATTATTGCATCAGTGTGCTTGTTAATGTCTAATAACATTTTAACTGGTTGGAAGCTAGTCTTTCTTTGGCCAGCTTTATTTTATTTAACTATTTAACTAACTCGACTGCATCCAGGGAACATCTTGGAAAATCTGACAAAGTGATTACACATCAAGGCTTTATGGCTGAACTGGTCTGTCAGTGATTTGTACTATGTCAACTTAGATCAACTAGGACAACTTAGTGCAAACCTTTCCAATGAGACCCTTATATACACTCTGAACTTCAAATGTTATATTTTGACACTCACTAGGCCACAGCACAGCTGCCAGGTATATCCTGCCACTTCTATAAAAGCATCTGCATCCACACATCTTTATCAGATAGTAAGATCATTAGTAAGACTCTTAAAGTTAAGTGCATAAGGACGTTAAGACAGTTGTTTGAACTTGGGATGTATCCAAATGCTGAAAGCCAGTGGCCCTTGAAAACTTGAGTTTAATATACTGAAAAGAAAGACATAAAATATAAATTTTAAGACATAAAGCCAATAACTGTACATTAGCTTTAATCTGTAATATTAATAATATATGGATATTTTTAACATATATCTTTAGAAAAAGACATAAAAATATTGGTAACAGTTATACATTTGCACATGATAATTGTGATAAAAATGTATATTGTTATAAAAACATGTGTCTTAAGAAAATAATGTAATACTAAATAGTTATAAAACAGATTAAATAATCCCTGTGTACCTGATGTTGGGCAATGTTCTTAAATTTTTCAGGATTGTGTTCTTCTTTAAAGACCTAAATTCTATTATCATTGTGGTTTTATTGTTTTGTCTTGTCGTTTGTATGTAAAGGGTATTATCGAGGGAAGAAGTACTGCATGCATTTTTTTTTCACTTTTATTTTAACCACCTACTGCTTGAGTTAAAAAGGGTTTCCATTATTAACATGATTAGATCAACATCCCTTTATTTTGACAGATGAGTCTATCCTACAATAATGATGAGTAATTTTCTGCCATACTGAGTTGTGTGCCAACATGGGTCCTACTGCAGCCAGTAAACACAGTAAATAGGGTTTTACATTATGGATAAAAGAAAATGGAACGGTTTGATGGATTAATTAATAATCTTCAAAACGGTATCTACTCTTTACTTTAAAACACATTTCATGTAATAAATCCATTCTAAAGTAATGCTACCACTAATAAGCATTAGCTGTTTATAGAGTGAAGGAAATGAGGAACTTTTTCATTAATAATCATGTGACTTCAGATCATTTGCATAATTTGTTTCACCACTGCATACTAACTCTATATCAAACCGAACAGTTTAATCAATGTTGAATGTAAATGTATCATCCTCAGAGATGATACTGCATCAGCACTCGTAATTATCTAGAAAATCTGCAGTATATGATAAAGAGAAGAATCCACTGTAAATCACCTACCTCCCACTAAAAGACTTAACGGATTCCCACTTGGCAGTAAACGTCTGTTATAGTGGTAGCAGAAACTGCTGCTACCACACAGCTGGAGCTCATCTGTTGCTTATGAGCTGAAAACTCCTGGTGCTAAACATATCAACACACACATGAACAAGTATGTATTTATGCATGTAGTTTTCATCATTCTGTAAGACTGGCAATGAACAGCATGTAAATCTATGTGCCAATTACAGTAATATAAATGTTTCTTCCATGTTCTCTCTTTTTTTATGACCTTTGCTTTTATTTCGCAATAATCTGTAAAGAATCTGGAAAAAAGGCAAAAATGTGTAAAAAACAAAAAAATGTACTCATTGTGTCGAAACATTTGGTTCTTATACCAAACTTTGACAATCTTTTGCAATTAAAATCTAAATGCAGTGATGGTCAGTGACATGCACAGACATTTCTGGGGGTAGGTATTGAAGGGGAAAAAAAGGGCACCTTATACAGCACATGTAGTCACCGGCTGCCTTAGTAATATTTTTTACAGATTTTATTTTACATTAATAGCTTAAACATGTATATAAACCTATTCTAAATCAATAGCCATAGATGTGTGATGCTTATATTTGATACTTTTGAACAGGCTGTAGAAGCAATTCCAGTTGCTGAGGGCCCATATTTTGCAACTTTTAGATGTGTCCTTGATCCAACACACCTGAATCAATTAATTAGATGAGTAAGAGGACTCTGGGGAAATTGACTGCACACTTGAGGTGTGGTGGAGCAAGAGCAAATCTAACAATTGCAGGATACAGGCCCTCTGGGATTGGAATTGCCTATTCTTGGTCTTTAGGTTAGTTTCTCCAACAGTTAAATTAGAAGCAACAGAAAAATTTGTGGCTATTCCACTTAAGTGTCTATAAAATAAATAATTTAAAATTTTAAAAATGTATAAACAAACTTAAACAGCAACATATTTAATCACAGACCAGAGACTTACCCTGGCCACTGATCCGGTCTTCCTAGTCTTGCACCTCAAGTTCCTCAGCCATGCATGTATTTTGTCTCTCATTGATCCACTCACCTGATTGGTGAGGATGAGAGATTAATAGATGCCTGCAGCACATGATGATAGCAGAAGAGGTCGTGCAATCATTTGAATCATATGTGCTGGAACATAGACATGTAAAACATTCAGGGCAGTGGCACTGGATTCATGCTTGATGCGAACGCAAGGTCTAAGCAGCCAAATTATGTCATTTAGGCTACTACACCCCTCTGCATTTCATCCATCCAAAAAATTTCACTGCACCTTGAAAAATTGGTAACTGCTAAGGGAAACATGGTGGTAGAGGCTGAGCATCTGTTTATATTTGCGAACCCTCGCCAGCTCTTACTGGCGAGGGTTCGCAAATATAAACATTGAGTGACATCTTGTGATTTGACCAATAAATATCCCAAAATGAAACCGTAAAAAACTTTTCGAAATAAATTACTGTTACTCTTGGATGATGTAAAGAGGCTTTGAAAATGTAAAAAAACAACGTTTTCTACTTCCTCATGTAGTGTGGTTTTATAAGCTTGCTTTGTTTGCTTGTTTGTGCCATAAACACACACCTAGAGTCAGCAAGAGAATTAGCTACAAGCGGAGAATAAAATTGCAGATGTTCAGTCCAAGATTCTCATTTTTCATGCAGAACATACTTGCATCAAGTATAGATTAAGCTTTATACCGTTCTTGGCTGAACGACTTAACATGAACTAGCTTATCTGTGAAGGACAAAAAGTTTTTAAGAGATCATTAATGAAAAAAACATAATCTTGAAAAACAAGGAAAATATAAAAAACAGAGATAAAGTTAAGACAATGTATAAAGCTGAAAGTCCTAATGTCTCACAGAGTAATTTTTATTTTGTCAGCTAGAAATGGAGCAATGATGACACAACTACCAGGACATGGCCATCCACCAAAACCAATCAGCTGACTAAGTAGAGCATTGATCAGAGAAGCAGTCAGGAGGAACATGATTGATATCCTGGAGGAGCTGCAAAGCTCAGGTTAGAGCAAAGATAGTGCACCTAAGAAATCTGGCCTCTATAGAGGACTATCACCAAAAAAGCCTTTGCTGAAGGCACTGAAAAAAGAAGCGCTGATTGCAGTTGGACATGTTGGAGACACAGTTTGAAAAGGTACCTTAGACAGATGACATCAAAGCTTACTTTTATGGCCAACATGAAAAATGCTCTGTAGCAATCAAAACATATTACCATCGTGCTGTGGAGGTTTTTTTTTTCTCTTTTACATAGCCAGGGAACCAAATGAATGTGATGCTAGATGTAGCTAAATACAGGACAATTCTGGAAGAACACCTGTTTGAAGTTGCACAAAAAAAACGCAATCCGACAGCACAGTGGTTCTAGACATACAGGAAGAGATAACAATTTAATGTTTTACAGCAAAACGCTTTCATGTTTAAGCACTGTTCATTTTGCGACGGGGCTGTAAGGTGGCAAAAGCCATAACAGTTACAGTAAAATGGCATGAGTCCTTTAGCACTTTGTGTAGTTTAACACATTTTGATAGTAGCATAGCACATTAGTTACAACCAAAGAGCTGAACTCTGGATTTCTCAGAAGTCCAACCTGGCATCAACAGCAGCTCTAATCCTTGCAACCATTCATGCATCTGTCCATTCGCTCATCTGTCCTCCCTTGTTAATTAGTGAGATGGCGTATCAGACTGCTTGCCAGGGCCGTTCTCATCTGTTGCATGGCTGAGTTTAAGGCCTTATTATTTCCTCACAAAGGGATCTGGTGAATGGACATTACTTGATAGTCAAACCAAAACCTGACTACCAATTAACATAATTATAGCTGTCCCACTGCATGCTGAGTGAGGCTACCTCTCTTAGTCCAAAGAGAATAATGAGGCATTGGCGGCTGCAGTAAGACACGCTAGTTTTTACTGGCACAGTTGTACACACCAAGACAAATGCAAATCAGCGCTCGTCATGTTCTCATCTCTACAAATATATGCAAGTACATGCTGGCAAATGTACAAACATTTCAATCTCTCTAAGCCACACCAACATATGCAGCCATTCATGAACACTCAGCACCAATCATGGCCATGTACCAACTTATCTGCCTCTGCTGTGAGTCATTGACCTGACAAATGTAGTCTGTAGACATATGAGCTGAGAGATGTGTGTAGATGTTATGAGGTTTGTGTTTGTGCTTTAAGACTTTGTCAACAAGTCCAGCATTACCACAGCTATTTGGTGCTTTGTACACAGAGAGCAGCAGCGAAAATCCCATGGGGCAGGAGGGACAGGATTTGTTTGCAGCCCAAGAAACACAGTCATAAACCCATTAAGGAACAAATCCTACACAAAGAGTGTTTAAAATGTAAAGTTGAAAATCTGTACATTTTCACATCTGTTTATTTAGCTGCGTGGAGTTGTCATCAAGGATGATCTTTTGTTTTTTTTGTTTTATTTTTGTCAGAACTGGTGTAGCGTCAGTTTCCTTCTTGGCTGATTTTATGCACTCCTGTATGTGCTTTTGTTATCTCCCCTGAGGGTGACCCCATTGAATAGAACCCCCAACCTATCCTGGCGCACAAATCACTCAACTGTTCATCACAACATGAAATCTTCAGCACTGCCCTCATTCCATACCTGTCATCTTTATTTTCTCTCTCATTTCCTATGGCTTAGAGTGTGCACACGTCCTATTTCTCTCGCACAATAGAGATAGGCAAAAAGAACATGAAGAGAATTTATGAAAGGCACGTCATCTTCTGTATCTGACTGAATACTTAGTCAAATGTGGCGAATGGTGCAAGGTGATGACTCTGAAAGTGCTCTAAGTTCCTTCTCAGAAAAAAGAGCGTGGGGATAATTCAGGATATTGAAAATGCATTTACTGGTAGCTTCAGAGGTCAAGCTGTGTTCATAATTTCTTATAACCACAGATGGTTGCCTTTTAATGCTGGCTCTGCTGATTTTTTTTTTCTTATTATTTTTATTATGGGCTGAAAAGCCTCTGGTGTCAAAGCTGAAAGAGGTGTTGGTCTGCCAGGTCTGTTGGCATGGTGACAAATGGTAAATGTTCCGCACTTATAGAAGTCCTTTTAACCTTAGAACTTCGGAAATAAAAGCTCAACACCTGCCCACCGGTGCATTTTGTGTTTTATTGCTGCTTCCTAAAGATTCTAGAGCACCAAATTTCTCCATGTATTTCTTGTGCACTTGACACAAATAAGAGAGCCTGTGTTGTAAACTGCTGTCATACCAATTTAAAAAGAATCCATCTGTACGCACACACACACAGTAGTAGTAGGTGGACTCTTCTGTCTCTGGATTTCATTTCTCCATGTCTGGTTATCTCTCATTGCAGGTGATTCTTCTGGCAGCTGTGGGGACCCTGGCACACCTGCCCATGCCAGCAGGGAGGCGGGGAACTTCAAAGTGCGCAGCAAGGTGCGCTTCACCTGTGCAGTGGGACACACGCTGTACGGCTCAGCAGAGAGGATCTGCTTCCCCAATGGGACCTGGTCTGGCAAACAGCCTTTCTGCAAGCGTAAGGGCACAGTTTAAAATTTCTGTGGGATGTTTTATATAAATTGTGTAAGAGCAAAGAGGAGTCATGTAGGAAGTAACAAACAGCATTTTTCGCAGATAAACACTCCTACGTATGAACACTGAGCTGCATAGTTGCTTTAGGCTGCATTAAAAGTCATGACTGCTTTTTGAAAAAATAACCCTGTTTTGCAGAATAATTTATTCTTCTTGACAATTTTTGTCAAGTTAAGAACAACAAACTTTCATGTTTTTAACCTTCTTAAATTGTGTTGCTCTATTTGTACACTCCAACACAAACAGGCAGACATATTTATACATTTTGAAGCATGTTTTTGTACTTGTTTTTGTACGCAAATCTTAAAAGTGTGGGTAGGCTAACTTTTGCTCTGGTCACAGCTGCAAACGTTTTAGGACATAACTCTACCTGCAGACTATTTTTTTAATTTGCCCGTTCTTTTTGCAAAGATAGGTTTTAGCAGAGAACATAAAATTGTTGGGACTGGTGTCAGATTCTTATTTGTGCATTCTTACACAGGAGTATGTTTTGATCAGATGTTCACATCAAAGCTCCATTATTGCTCTGTCTGCATGATTACACTCATTGTCTTTCTCAAAGGTGAACTTCCACCTTCATTAGGAGTCTTTTAGCCTCTAGTAGAGCTATCTATGTAAATTGTACCAAATTTCTATGCACATTATCCCATTCACTCTGACTTTACCTTACCCTACTACGAGCAAGAGTTCCCACAGCAAAATGGTACCTCTACCATGTTTTACTTCTGAGGATGGTGTATTATGCTGTGTTGTTTGTTCACTGTGAGTTCATAATGCTGTTTTTTTTTTTTTTTTTTTTATATTAAGGTTCAATCAGACCTCTAAAGCCTTTACCATTTATCTCAGTAGGAATACTGGATAAAACACTGGATAAATCAGAGAGATTAACTCTATTTCCCAAAAAAGTAACTGGTTCCACTAGATTTAAATAAAAGGGATCGAAATCAAGCTGCTCACTGTAAATAATCTCAAAAACATTTCTTAATTTTTTTTAGAAAAAAAAGCCAAAAAAAGGAAGGGCACTTAACTTTATTTGCCTTTTTACAAGCACAAAAAATAAAACAAATGAAAAAAGAAATTTACTCATTAAGCTGAAATGATCTGGTGTCTATTTAAAAGGAACGTTAAATTTTGACTGTCTTTTTGTTTTTTATGGATGTGATGGTGATTTGATGGTGAGGTATGTATGTGGACTTGGAATCAGAAATCTTAATGCTAAAATGCATTATTGTCATTATAAATGTATTCCAATTTTTTAAAATGAAATTCAAATATTTAGATAGTCGAGATAAATTAAATTGTTGCTTTGTAAATGAGGCAATCTATTGCTCAGAAACAGGAAACACTGATATGTTTTCAGGGTTTGTACCAACATTCTTTTCGCTGTGGCTTCTAAAAAATTTATACTGTATCCAGATTCAGTATAAACACACAAACAGTGTCTGCATATTGTTGGCTGCATTTCAACGCAACTGATTAGCAAAGAAATCACAAAACCAGTACTTCCCCAGATGGAAAAATATCTCTCTGCTGGAGTCTGAGTGTCTTCCAGACTGCTGAGAGAAAATTCATTAATTCTAGACACCTAAAGCCACTTTTTATTTTTGGATTGTGATAAATTAATCATTGTGGGTTTTCAAGATATCACCTCTCAGAGGGCCAGCTTCATATTTTGCATAAATTACCCCCAAGGGTCAGCCGGATATTGAATCAGATGTTTGACTGCATCCCTTCTACTTTACATACTGTCCACAAGTATAGAGTCATTGCTAATAAAACTGGCCATTGTTTGTGTTCTCTCTCAATTCCTTTACAATGCACCTTTAATGCATCTTACTTCCTTTATGTCTTTATTCTGTTTCAATACTTATTTTTGTATCAATCGACCTGTCATGCACACTCATACTTTGTCCAATCTTTCATCTCTCCTCCCTCTGTATCTTGATCTTTTTGCTCACTTAGATCCCCCCCCCCTTCCTTTTTTATTCCATATCTCTCCACCCCAGGCTTTTTATCCTTCCATCTCCCAGCTGAAATCCTGATTTTTAGATTGTTTTAACCATCTTTCTAACTTGTGGGGGGAAGAAGCAGGAATTCACTGGAGCCTGAATGAGTTTCATTGCTCTCTGTCTGTGATCTAAAGCCCTGTCATGAGTTAAAGCCCATCCATCCATTATTCACAGCCTTTTACAGTGCATGGAAAACGGTCACTGTGAATATCCAGCTTAATAACAGCTCACATGGTCATCAATGACTGCTTCATGCTATTTCAAATATTAAGAAAAGAATTCATGCTTGATTATATGTATAATCAGAATTATATGTGAGGTGTTTGAATGCATGATTTTATGCCTTTTAATGCATTTACAGCACAGTGATATAAACGTCGAAGCTGCTAGGAACAGTCCCTCAGCAATGTGTTTACACAGTGATAAGTTTGTGCAGATGCATTAAAGGTAATTGAGAAATCAGCACAGCAGTAACAGCATGTCTGTCTCCTAGAAAGAATTTGTATTTCATGATTTTCCAGGCAATTAGGTTATTGAGAGAGCAGATTAGTTTTGTAATTAGACATGATTTGCAGGAGGAAAAGAGTACATGAAACAGTTTTTCTACCCTTTGGGGAAACATTTTAGAAGGCAGATTCTTAAAAAGTGCAGTTATTGATTTTTTTTTTAAACTCAACTACCTTTGTTCTGTAAGTAACTTTTTTATCTTCTTAAAGATTGTGCACCTGGGTTTTGTGGTTTTGCCACTATTAGAGATATTTTTGTATATAAGAATCAGTAAATGTCATTTCCACAGAAAGCAACTAATAACTTGACAACTGTACCTTATATAGTGGGACTCATCTAAGCACTATATCTACTTCTTTATCTCTTTTAATAAAGCAATAATGTACAGATCGGTGGCTTTCTAGTAGCTTATCTTTTTTCAAAAAGAAAAATCAGCACATTGGATAATATGAAGTATGGAAAAAATGTGTTTTACTTAAATTTAATGTTTTTTAATTTCGGTTTTGTTAAGATGTGCATAAATTGCAATAATTCCCATTAACAGAGGAAGAAAAATGATAACATTGTGACCTACTGTAGAAAAAAATAATAGAGAAGAAAGCAAAGAATTTGCTTCGCTGACGTAGAGGTTAACGGCCACCACCCGTGTACAGTATGGAATCCTTAGTACTCTACACGGCCGACCCGGGTTCGAATATGACCTGTAGTCCTTGGCCTCATGTCTCTCCCCCTCTCTCAAACCCTCTCACCTGTCTGCCTACTGGAAAAAAAAAACGAGCCACTAGTGCCGTAAAAAAAACATTGGATCTCTGAATCAATAAATAAGACAATGCTCACCCAAGACAAAGTTAGTGATGACAATGTTTTAACCTCTTATATCACCCTGCAGTTAATCACAATTGACCACAATGACCAATTTGGAAAATAAGAAAAATACAATACTGTGAAAAATGTACTTGACTGAAATAAAGTAGAGTACCTTCTGCTTTGGTTCTGACCAGTTCTTTCCCACTTAAGCCCTAAGGTAGAAAACAACAACAATTAGTGAAAAAAAAATAGTAATTTTGCAAATTCTGCTTTTCTCTACATTACTGTCCTCTGTTTTTTTTTTTTTTTTTTTAAATAGCTAGACTACAGTCATAAAACTGTAAAAAAAAAATATCGCGGGAACATTTTCTGTCACAATTACTCAAACATCAATGTAAATTTAGACTGCATAAAGTTAGACATTGTGGAGTAAAACGCTGAAACATTATAGGTATGGAATTAGACAAGTGTCCAGAGATAAAAATTTTTTATTACAGTACAAGGGGAACTCTACTAATTACAATACAAAAAAAGGCCTGACTTGGATGTGGAAAAGGAAATGATTGTTTCATTACTGTTGTCATTAATGTATAAAGGGGGATAGTGGCTCTGGAAGTAAAGCTTCATCCCGTAACTAGTAGGTTCCCACTTCAAGCCTCAAATCGATCAAACTCTGTTATTGTGCTCCAGGACAGCAGTTGCTACAGTTTGCCACCATCAACATGTGAATATGTGTGTCTGCAATGTAATATGTGTGAGCAGTGCACTTCTGCTCTGAGAAGGTTGCAAGTACCCAGTTCAATCGCGACAGCCTCCTCTCTTGGTTCCTGACTAAAACCCTTAATAAGTGATTGCTCCCCAGGCGCCACACAATGGCAGCCCAATGCTCCGCAAGTGGATGGAATAAATGCAGAGAGTGAATTTCTCCAATCTGCGATCATTAAAGTTAAATTATTGTAATCAGTTTATACTTCTACTCACTCCTTTAAATCTTTATTGCTTTAAATGTGTCAGTTATTGTACTTTAAAGAGAGTCAATATAAAGTTAAATTGCACATGACATAGATTAGAAGGAAGTTAGATTCCTTGATGTTTGTAAAAAATTCACATAAATGAAAACTTTGGTAGATTTTTGTGCTGAAGGACGACCTATATAAAGTGAAAAGGGTCTGGAAAACAAATTTGGTGATATTTACCTCAAGAACTTTATGCTGAAATTACTTCACTGTTGCCTGTTTGACCAAACTGCTGTAAAAGTGGCCTAAATTTATTTACTATTTTATTGTCTGCTATTTTTTTTATTATCCTAATTTCTTCTTTAACCTATACAGAAGACTTCAAAGATTTAATACTTTAGGGGGGAACTACGTTTTTGTTGAGGTTTTGTTTTTCTCACAGCGACTTTGACTTGCTGTTGTTGTTGTGTGCAGTAAAAATCTATCCTCTGCTGTTTACATTCATGGAGCTTATCCACATTCTCTGCATATATAATCTTTTTTTATATGATGCACACTCCATCCTTTCTCTCTGTCACAAGTAAATGCCCACACATCAGTATAGTATATTTCTTTTCAAAAGCCTCTTTTATTCGTGGAAACAATAGAATGTGTGATTACTGTGGGAGATTTACATATGGGGCAATTCCACATCACAATCTATGGTAGTGACTTCTTAAATTTAGTAGGCACTCAAAAAAAAAATGTAAATTTTGATTGCTTGTGCAGTTTAAAAAGCATTACGAAGAAAAAAATGGTTGGGGGTTATCTAGCTGTAAAATATGAAGATGTATGCACTTTAACTCCAGCAAGGGATTGCTAACTGCTGCTAACAGACTTGGACTGGTAATTAGACAAAAAAAGAAACCTTATCAGTACTTATCAGGTCGATATCAAATCAGCATTTATTCCATTAATGAATCTTTGCATGCTCACTGCAAAAGAGGAAAGAAATAAGTCTTTGACAGTTCAGTCACCTTGAAGTATTTTTGCAGCCACCTGAGGGGCTTCCAGCTCCCAGATTGTGAATCATTGATATAGAAAATCCATTACTATTTTACACTTCTGACCTTCACATCCTCTGTTTCCTCTGTTGTATTGCAGCTGTACAGTGTGCAAATCCAGGTACCCCAGCTCACGGCCTCATTTCCCGTGTGGATGGCACGACTTTCTCCCACTCCATTGTGTATTCCTGTATGGAAGGCTTTTTCCTAACAGGATCACCTACGCGTCAGTGCTTGGCAAATGGTACTTGGTCTGGCACGGCTCCTAACTGTACAAGTGAGTACTGCACAGAAGCATGTTTGAAGGCTTGAACTGTCTCTTGTTGTCTGTAGTTTTTCAAAGAGTCAACTTGATGTTCAGTTATTATATTGTGGAATGCAGAATCGAATACAACTCTGAAATCACTGGTAAAAAGCACAGTAACTTGTAAGATAATGTTATTTGTTATAGGGTGAACCAGTGGAATAAACTGGGAATGTTTGCTGCAGGATTACTTGAGATTTACATGGATCAATTGAGAATTTATCCAGGCTATAGTCACATTTGTAAGATTTTTTTTATATACAAGACTGTCTCAGAAAATTAGAATATTGTGATAAAGTTCTTTATTTTCTGTAATGCAATTAAAAATCATGAAATGTCATACATTCTGGATTCATTACAAATCAACTGAAATATCGCAAGCCTTTTATTGTTTTAATATAGCTGATTATGGCGTACAGCTGAAGAAAACCCAAATATCCTATCTCAAAATATTAGAATATTTCCTCAGACCAAGTAAAAAAAGAAAATTATAACAGCAAAACAAAATCAAACATTTGAAAATGTCCATTAATGCACGCAGTACTTGGTTGGGAATCCTTTTGCACAGATCACTGCATCGATGCGGCGTGGCATGGAGGCAATCAGCCTGTGGCATTGCTGANAACTTGCTTTCGTCTGAAAAGAGGACTTTGGACCACTCTGCAACTGTCCAGTGTTTCTTTTCCATAGCCCAAGTCAGACGCTTTTTCCGTTGTCTTGAGTTCAGAAGTGGCTTGACCATGGGAATACGGCTATTGTAGCCCATTTCCCGGACACGTCTGTGAACAGTGGCTTTTGATACCTGGACTCCAGCTTCAGTCCACTGTCTTTGAAGCTCCCCCAAATTCTGGAAGCGGCTCTTCTTCACAATGCTGTTAAGGCTGCGGTCACCTCTCTTGGTTGTGCAGTGTTTCCTGCCACATTTCCCCCTTCCAACACACTTTTTGTGAATGTGCTTTGAAACTGCTCTCTGTGAACAGCCTGCTCTTTGAGAAATTTCTTTTTGTGTCTTACCCTCCTGATGGAGGGTGTCAATGATGGTCTTCTGGACAGCAGTCAGATCAGCAGTCTTCCCCATACTTGTGATTTAGTTTACTGAACCAAGCTGAGTGTTTTTCAAGGCTCAGGAAACCCTTACAGGTGTTTCAAGTTAATTAGACGATTCAAGTGATTAGTTAAATAGCCTACTAGTATACTTTTTCACAATATTCTAATATTTTGAGATAGGATATTTGGGTTTTCTTCAGCTGTACACCATAATCAGCTATATTAAAACAATAAAAGGCTTGCGATATTTCAGTTGATTTGTAATGAATCCAGAATGTATGACATTTCATGATGTTTGATTGCATTACAGAAAATAAAGAACTTTATCACAATATTCTAATTTTCTGAGACAGTCCTGTATATATTATTTTCTGTGAGATTACAATCAAAATCAAAATCTCTGCTCTGCCAACAGGTGGCACTAACATCAAAAGACCCTGGGCATAGCTAGAGCAGTGCTAGGCTAAAGATTCACCAAAGCAATTGTAGCCTGTTTTCTTTAAGAAATGTTATTTTCCCCCTCAGATATCAACTTTTTTTGGTTCCCATTTGAACTTTAATGAAAACAGAGTCAGTCTAATAAGAAGTTAATTAGACACTGGAAAGCATTGAAAGTCTAAAGCAAGATAAATCTTTATTTGTTTGGAGAACACTGTTTTGACCAGCACTGTTAAGCCATGTTCAGGATCTTTTCTTGTTAGATCCTGATGCATTTGATAAGTAGAATATGCCACCTCCTGATAAAGCATAAACATTATAGGTTTAGAGGACAATCTTTATTTTTGGATGAATCATTTAATAATTGTTCCTCCTAATTGTCATTCATTCGGTTGATATGTTTACGTAAGGCCGTCCTACATGCCCGCACCGTTACTGTAGAACGGTGCCCGCATCTTTTTCTGCGCTTTCATGCATATATATGTGGTGAGCTGAGGGATTTAGGGGTTTGGGGCGGATGTTCAGACACAGTAAGCTTGTATGAACTGTGAGAACAGCAACTTTTAAACAGAGTGTGCATGAGGAGAAATGGACTTTTTGCATGCTCTCACTCCACCATTTTTTGTTTTTTTTAGTAAAGAGGGCGGGTCTTTAAAAACATTCATGAAAATCCTCCAAAATAGCTTCAAACTGTTTCAGTGTAGAGCCAAATAAGCCAATTTGAACAAACGAAAAGCAGCATTTTATAGATGATTTTTTTTTTTTTTGTTCCAATTTGGTCCTTTTTGTTGTTCAGTCTTTAGTTTGGATTGGCCAAAAAGGGTTAAAAAAAAAATACTCACACTGTTATTAAAGTATCAAGGCTGGTAATTTTTAGTTTGTTGATATCAGACATGACTCTTTGGGTAATTAAAACCTTTGCTTGTCTATATTTAATTTATACCAAGATCACTCTCAGAGAAAATTACGTTGTCCCTCTCTCTGAAATTCACCATATTCTTTTTCCTGTCTTCCTTTAGCCTATTATTGCAAGAAAGATAAATGGTATGGGCATAATTTTCAATTTTGTAGTAATGGGTCTCTGGAGAGATATGCACAGGGTAGAAGGCAAAGGAGAGTAAGATTGAAAAATTGTATTGAATAATAATGATCAAACATGCAGGAATCCAGGGAAGCTTTCCTGCATCTTTTCCCCATTTGAAATCTCACTCATCAACAAACTAATTCCTACGTTTAACTATCACCTCACATTAAAGTTTACTGTTGTGTTCAGGGGCATCAACACTTAAGATGCTGGGATTGGCTTACTGTGCCCTCATTACACAGGCAGTCATTTTCATGGTTCATTGAGAATCGATCTGTAAGTTAGAAGATCAAAGTCATACAAGATTTTCAAGGGGAAAAATAAGTTTCTTTTTTCTTTTAGCTTTAAATTACTTTAAAAAAAAACTTTTTATGGAATTAAACAATTTAATGCAGTTAATGCCATTTTAACCTGAATCTAATTAAATTCAGTTTATTTATATAGCGCCAATTCACAGCATTTCAAAGCACTTTTCAATTCAACCAGATCATACAGATCTTTGGTTCAAAGTTTTCTATCTAAGAAGGAAAACCAGTTGATTGCATCGAGTCATTGACTCGAAGGCAATCCCTCACACTAAGCATGCTTGTAGCGACAGTGGAGAGGAAAAACTCTCTTTTAACAGGAAGAAACCTCCAGCAGAACCAGTCTTAGTGTAAGCGGCCATCTGCCGAGGCCGACTGGGGTTCAAGGAGACAGGAGAGAGCACATACAGTTAGTCACAGTCAGAGAAACAGGACTACACTGGAAGACAGGCTGAGCTCAAACATCTATAAACAAAGGTGTAGATGGCAACAGCTGATATTTCTTTCTGTTATGGTGTCACAGCCAAACAGGAACAGACCAGAAGAAGCTACTAGGATGAGAATAAAGCAAAGACCCTAATGCATGCATAAAAATACGTATTCTCCAATAGAAAGCTCATTTTATAAATTTTAATTTCAGTTAACCCCAAACATATCCAACCTGTAAGTACAGCATATACCTTGAATTAAATAACAAGCTGGTTTAATAGAATAGTAGAGCTTGCATGTTTTAAGTTATAAGTGCTAGTGATTGCTACTCATTCAGCCCTGGGTACATCGTCAACACTCTACTCACGCAAAATACAGAGTTCATTCCTATTAATTAGAAGCACTGTTTTTTCAGTATTTTTTACTGCAAAAATTAGAGAGTTATAGGGTGCATCTAATTCAAAAAGTCCTTTTGAAGGAAAATATACACCTGAAATTGCAATTACAACCAATAACTGTCTTTCCTTGCAGATGCAGGAGTCATTTAACAGAGGTTTCCTACTATCATAAATCAGATTGGAAATAATATTATTAGTTTGGCACTCCATACTTAGGAAATAATCAACAATTTAATTTAGTGATAAAATAGATAAAAACCAATTTGAGTCTCATGCTAGAAGGCCTCTTAACCCAACACAAGTAAAAAGATTGAGACCCAACTCCAGGCCCTGTGCGCCCAGCAAGAATCCATTAGAGATAGGACAACAAAAGTGTACCCTAATGCTTTTTTAGGCTCCCTATTCTTTTGACTTATTGGCAGCAAATGGTGAAACAGATAAATACACTGATTTCTTTTTGTTCTTACACTTCCCTGTTGCTTGCTGATATTGCTTCTCCAGCACCAAGAAACATGCAGCTTGTAATCTGACCAATCCTACTATACATAAAGAAGCCACAGTTTCATTGGCAAGCATTTTTCTACAAAATCTGTAGTGCAGATCCAGGGCCGATTTGATTGACACTGAAGAGCACAGAGAGGGTATTAATGGGGTAACTTGGTTTGACTTATAGACCCTTTCTTTTGCTGTTGGTCTCATGGTATCTATTGATAGATTTAAAATTTCTCAACTCAGTAAAAATCTAATTGCTGACATAGATTTAACTAACATTTGCAGATAAAAATTTTTTGCCATACACTCAAATTGCTTAACTCACAAATTTCAGTTAATGCTTTAATGTTCCTTTCTAAGTTTTCCCAGCTTCAGCTGGAAATTATGGAACATTCCCTTTCTTTGATACTGAAGACAGACTCAATAACGCAGCACATTTACTGTGTCGAACAGGCAAGTCGCTATAACTTTTAGCATGAACTGATGCTGTCATGTGTGGGTGTCGAAATATGCTCATGTATGACTTCTGTAATGGACGTAAAAAGTAGTTTACTACCCACACTGCCTCTACCATCTGAGGAAAATCAGATATGGCTGACAGGTTAGTTTCTGTGCACAAGGAAGGCATATTATAAACGACTGTGTTTCAAGCATCAAATAATTGCCAATTTCAAAGCCATTTATTCTTTTGACACATTATGCGGGACGCTGGGTTTAGGAGCCTTTTGTGGAGTAGGCAGTGTTGGATTGATCTGGAAAAACAAAAAGGCATCCAACAAATAGATCTCTAGAACTAACAAGCATTTAATTTTTACTTGTTAGTATAGAAAAATACAGGCATGTAGAAATTAGATTTCACATTGAATCATACATGAACTGACTTTTTTACATCCATCTTTTTCGTAGTATCTTTTTTATTTTTTGTCTGTATTTAGAAAGTATTTTTCCCAAATGTGTTGTCAGCTGTTAAAAATAAACATTGTAAACTAGGCAATGACAGCCATATCCCTCAAAAACACAGAATGTCAGAAATGATTCACACCTCAGAAACTATGTGATTTATTCAATAACCAAAAAAAAGTGAAGTCAACGACTGACAACTGTAATTTAATCAACGATTGCACTGGGTGAAGACCTGACAACGCAGTTGCCCAACACATAGCCATCTGTTTGTTTGGAGAAAGCTGTGCCAAGAGAATGAGCCAGGAGCAAACATGTGAAAAGAAATAATTAATGCTACTATTTTTATTTCTGCTTGGCTCTCTGTTTCAATTAGACAAATAAATTAACCATAGGAGATTTGAAATATGGTTTAAAAGTGCTGTGTTGTAACTTTCTATTTAAAAACACACAGATGCCTCTCACTCAAGTCAAACATGTCAGTTAAAACTAAATGTTTTTTAAGTACTTTGGTAGAATATTGTCATTAGGTGCACTTAAAGTCATTTTGTTATCAATTATTTGGAGCATAATTCAGAAACATATGTGATGATCGGGCTCTAAAAAGGACTAGCGGCTAAAAAGATGTGTTCAAGAACTGCCATTATTAACTGCAGCAGACAGTGAGCTTGTAATATGTAGGAACACTGTGTTCCATTTATTTACATCTGAAATCTGGTGTCTTGTAATGCATCAAATATTACATCCAGCTTAATGGTGCTCCAGTTCTAACTTAGAAAATCTGTTGGATTTATTCAGGTATCAGGTTAAAGCTTTTTTATTTGCTTCATCTAAAATTTAAAACGCTGTAGCATCAAGGTCACTCGCATTCAACTAATAAACATGAAGCAATGTACCACCCCTGTTTGTTACCTGACGATTCCCTATTAAACTCATTTGCATCTTAAAACAAAAAGGATGTGAAGTAATTAATATTATGAGTTTATTGATATTATCTTTAACATTTACTATTATTTGGACTTTAGATATAACTGGAAGAGAGAGACTCAGGTGAGCGCATAGATGTTGACTCGGTGTTGTGCTTGTTGTGCAGTAATTTAAGATTCACTTATTTAATATAGAAATAGTTATGATAAAAAATGTTAGAAAAATCAAGCGTGCTATATTAAATACCCATTTAAAAAAAAAAAAAAACAGTTGTGAATAGAAACGCTAAAGTTTCAGTTTTCATGACTTTATTCTCATAATATTACAACTTTATTCTCAAATTGAGAAAAAAATAAAAAAATCTCTAGCCTGGCCCTAATACTCCATCGTAAAAGCCACCACATAAAAGTGTAAAAGCGGTTTATGGAAGAACTTTTTTTATTGTAGTCTTTCCATTTAGCGAATTGATTCCCTTAATTACAGTTTCCCAAAGTTCATGGTTAATTGAAACACAACTAGTGTTACAGCATCTGATTTGGTAGTCCAGCTACATTTCTACATGCTGACATAATTTTTAGCCCTGCTATGATATTAAAGACCATCATTTTAGGTTTTCCTTTTTAGTGCCAATAGCACTGCCTTTTTAATACCTTGTTTTTATGGTATGATTTCCCATGTTTGCTTCTTGTGTGTACCTGTTGTTTCCTTTACTTGAGTCGGTAATGGTTTGGTTCGTCAGAGCTATTAGGATGTCTTATAGTTTAAATGCCGTGCCTGAGACAGAAAATACAGTCACAAAAACACCCAATTAACACAACATCAGTTTATTACCCAGACTTCTGGATACTCTACTTAAATACACTGCTCTAATAAAACGAAAAATACTTCCTTTTGTCGTGAAAAACACAGAATAGTTGCAGGGCAACATCTCCCGTAGGTCACCAAATTGCTACTCAGTCTTTTCCAGCAGCTAAATAATGACCTGTCAAAAGCACATAAAAGGCGACACCCAGTGCAGCACTGCATACAGTATGTTGAAGCAGCGATGAATCTGTTAAAGGGGCTCACAGCTGCTCTAAATCACTTTTAACCGCAGAAGTGACAAACAGCAGGGGAGCAATTAGTACTTACTAATCATCTCAGCATAATTACCACCTATTCATTGATAAACTTTGCTGCACAGAATTCTGTTGTTCAGCCATTCTTTACTCCAACATTATATACTCCTGCTAAAGAATAAGCATAGGTGCAATATTAATATTATATTATTTGATTTACCAAAAATCATTTCTATTATTTATAGCTACATAAAACAGCTTTGTCACACAGATAAGTATTTCTAATGTCTTCAAAAAGTATATCCAGGAAGCCAGTCTAGGAAGATCTGCTTCCTGTATGTCATTGAGAGTTCTAAATAACTTTATTTTCTTTTGGAGATGCCCGTCATTCAGACAAACTTCTTAGTTACATGAACATAGTTTAAAAACTTTAAATCAGCAGGGGATTAAAACATTCTGATATAACTTTGTATTTAGCACCTTTGACTCAACACTTTCAATATTTGGGATCATTTTCATCTCGGAAGTTAAACCTTTGGCCCAGTATCAATTCTTTGCAACATCTAAGAGGTTTCCCATTGCTCTGTATTTTTCTCCATCCATTCTTCCCATATCTCCTGAAAGTTATGCCCATATCATAATACTGCCAGCAATCTGTTTGGCCATGCATATGGTGCATGCAAGATGATAGGCATTGTTTTGTTTTTGTTTTCCTGTCACACATCATTAAGATAATCTCTGTTTTCATCTAACTACTGCATTTATTTTACATGTTCAAGGTTTTTGTTTAATGATTTATAGTAGACTGCAAACAGCACTACTTAAAGCAGGCTTTTGAATGGGGCTTCTTTGAACACGGCTGCATTAAATATCAGATTTGTGGAGAGCAGGATTTATATTCATCCCATCAACAGATTATCCAACCTGAGCTGTGGATCTTTATAAGTCATTTAGAGACATAATGGACCTTTTGGCAGCCTATCTCATTTATCCTTTTCTTGCCCAGTCTTTAGTTAGATTGGCAGCCAAGTCTTGAAAGGTTTGAAGTTCCTTCTGGTTGAACAGTTCTCTTTGAGATGTCTAAAAATTGGGTAATGTTTTATAAGCTATCTCTGCTTTAAATGTCTCAACAGCTTTATCCCTACCTTACACTTCATAAGTATGTCTTATGGGGTGTTGATCTATGTCACTTAAATATATTGATGCCTTTGTATATTAAATGCCAAAATTTGGAGTATAAATGCTTTTTTCCATTTGTTTTATAACCCTAGGAAATTGTTGAAACAATCAAGAAACATTTTTCTACTCATTAATGTTATTCACTACACCATACTTAGACTGCTTCAAATTTGGACTTCATTTTTGTCTTTCAATGGCAGTGATCACCTGCAGTGACCCTGGCATCCCAGCTAATGGACTAAGGTTTGGTGATGACATCACGGTGGGTCAGAATGTCACATTCATGTGCCAGCCAGGATTTGTGATGATAGGGGGTGAGAATGCCATCTCTAGGACCTGCACCAACAACGGCACCTGGAGTGGAACAATGCCAGCGTGCAAAGGTAAGATTGTTTTATTCTGCTCATTCTTGTTGATTGGCTCTGATACTACAACCTTATCACACCAACATAGCAGCAAATTGGATGATTTAATAAGATTAGCAATAAACGTGACACAGGACTTCCGTTCAGGCAATGGCAGTGCTTACTTAATTTGACTGCTCCAGCGCAGAAAGGAAAATAAGTTATCTTTATGACTGAACACCACATTGCTAACCATTTTAGGTTTTACTAAGTAGGACATGATAGAGAGTAGTCAAATCTTCAACATATTGTAAAATTATTTAAATCAAACGTGAAGTATAAGAAAAAACACAACAGATTTTTTTTTTTATTTTGAACAAAAATCGAAGAAGAAGAAGTCAGCTTCTTAGAAAACTAAACATATTTGATTGAATTTTATTAAGAACTATCTTCAAGGTTTTCATTTAATAATTAATTTCACAAATGGAAAATTATCCTAAAACCCTTCCAAAATGAATGAGTAGCCGACATCTAAATGATTATTTCTGGTATCTTACATTCTTTGATTGGTTTCTTGTATTTAGAAGAAATAAAAAAAAAAAAAAAAAACTCAGATTAGTTTAAAAGTTGAAGGGCATTAGTCCTCAAGGACTCAAGTTTGAGACTGATGATGTCAGTGTTAAAACATAACAATTTGACAAATCCTACCAACTTAAAACTACACTGTGAATTCAGAAGGTGAAGGATCCAATGTCATGCTTTTACAGATTCATTGGAAGTAAGTTAAATTTAAAGTATCTACAATATGAACCAAGTCAAGACCCTATAATTTAAAACTCATTTCCAAATATGTCAAAACCCACAACTGAAAGGACTTTTTATGGATTAACTGGGCATGTGTTCAAAGAACATGGATCTCTCTCAATTTTAATCAATGGATTAGTAATTGTCTCCCCTTTTGAAAGTTTCTATACCTTCTATTAGTTATAGAAATCCCAGGAAGTAAGCTTAGTAGTTGTACGCCCATCAGCGCTACATCAGTCTATGATTTATGATCCTGGAGTGGAGGCATAGATTAGCATTTCTGCTGCTGACACCATAAAGTAGGTGTTGCTGGAAAGATTAACTTGTGCAGAAAACGGTTCAGATGTACACAGGGAAATAAAAGAGCCTACAAGGCAAATGGTGGCTTATTGTTGCTAAGGAACTGTTTGCAGGCTGCTGTGTCAGTGACTATACAGAGAGGCAAACTGTTATTATGTTTGCCTCTTGAGAAATGGCAAGGGACAAATTAAATGTGAGAAAAGGAGGCAGAGTTTGAGAGACTATCATGTACGCATGCAAACCTAACAACTTGTTGGAGATATGTACGCAAAGAATCGCAGAGAGCTGTTGAAAATCAAAAGGAGGTCTTCTTTTTTTCTCTCTACCTCTGGCCTGCTAGTTGTTTTCCAGCTGTCTGTGTATGATAAACAGCTAAGAACCTACAGTATATAGCCATTTTTCTCTCTTTTCTTCAGCCCCTAGGTTTCTTATTGTTTTGAAGCTGCCTGTGTGACCTTGCTTTGGAGTTTACATCATCCAAACTGACAACGAGTTGAATTATTTCACTTGTGATTTTCATTATTCACAAAACCTGTTCCTTTATATGCTGAGGACGTCTGATGAGTTGATAGGCGCCCAACTGTTACCCACATCTGTTTAACCAAGGCGAGAGTACTGAGCTTTTATTATAGCTTCTTTTCCCTACATGTGCACGCACATGTCTATGGAAGTCTCTACATCTCCTAACCTGCAGCTAAAAACTCCTGCTAGAGCTCTGTTCTCTAGCTGCTCTACCTGGGCTTAATTTGAAGAGTTTACTCTGGATTATAAGCTTGCCTGTCATGCACAACGCAACAAAAGACTTTTTGTAGTCATTGGCTCTATTATGCATGCATATTCACATGAGTTTTCACACATGCCCATGTTTTTTTAATGCTGTCTGCTTATGTGGACCTGCGAACATCAGTATTTGACCCATTGGGTCGCTTCTGCTTCTTTTCTTACTCTTGGTTCTCTAACAGCAATTATTTATCTCATGAGGTAAATAAAAGAAAGGCGTATAAAAAAAGTTGGATTTCTAGAGGATGTTCTACGTTAGTGAAACTTTTTGTCAATATGGATGAGAAATAAAAGCAGACGCAGATTCTACGAGCCTCATTTGCTTTTATTCTCCCTCAAATTTGAAACAAGCAATTATAAACTAGTGTGATTACAAAACTTTATTCTACCCTCTTTCTTAACAACCGCATTTGGAGAAGAATGAGAAAATATACCTCTTTTTTTCGTTAGAAAGCTGGCTATTCTAATAAGAGTGTTTTTCCTTTTTATTTTGCATGATAGGCTTTAATTTAAAGATGGGGCGGTTTGAGCTTCTTAAAACTGATGGAAAGCTGGCCATCTGTCATCTCGTTACAGATTAGGATGATGAGCCAAAGGGATTTTGAGCAAATTGCAGGGGAGAGGGGCTAAAAGAAGGAAAGACAGAAAAAAGACAAATAGAAATTTGAGGAGACAAAGAGGTTTTTTCCTGGTTGTATAATTTTGCTCATAATGCCTGAATGTGCATGCACACAGATGACAAATCTGAGCCGGCATAAGTTTCAGTCTGAATCCCAGGTTTGGCATGTTCAGCTAAGACGGACTAATGCTCTAATGCAGCTTAGAACTGCTGAGGAAAATGGGGCCACTTACTGATTCTCATTCAGGTTAGCCTGCCACCATGCCTGAATTTTTTTATTTTTTTCCTTCATGTTTTCAAGTAATTTCTAAAGCTGTGCTTATGAGATTACTAAACCCACATCTATAATCAGTGTAATTCACCTACTCATATGACGGCTCAGAGATTTTTTTTTCCTTATCTTACTTGCCCACTGTTTGCCACTTATAAATATACTGCATGATTAAGCATACAGTCTAAAATATAGTGACCACCTTTCACAGTTTAGTGGTATTTTCTAGCACTTAAAAATGTCATCACAGTTATCACATCACAGCCTATATGTCTTTCTAAATATAGCATACCTGTGAATCATACACGCTGTGTAAGTGTCCATATGGAAATTGCTCTGAAACTGCAGCCAACCAAAAACAAAAGATGCTTTCCCTTTGGAGCGAATGAATGAATATCCCACTGTGGTCTGTTCCATATTCATTGTTAAACATTGTTCGGGAAAACAAACAAGTAAGCAAAAATCATGCTGTATAAAATGTTTTCTCTTGCCTTAATGTTTCTTATATCCTTGAACTTTGTCACAATTTTTCAGTTTTGACTGTGAATTTCGTTGTATTTTGCAAACCCCTACTGTAGGAACAATGAATTCAATCTAATGCAACCAATTGGCTTCCATTACATAATTAATAAATGGAGAGCATTTTGTGTTATTTGTTCTTTCAATAAATACATGTTTTCTATGAAGGCCCCACCCCTCATTCACCCAGACTTATTCGTCAATGCGTCCTCCATTTCATTGCAAATAGAAGCCTTTCAAGTCCATATGGTAATTCCAGTTGACGGCCTGGCACTGCTACCCTACATAGTCTATTTTTGTCAGAAAATTGAGGTAAGCATGGCAATTTTAAAAAACCAGATAAGCCATAAAGGAAGTCAGACATGGGAAGAGTAAAGTAGAACTGGTAAATTTCAAAATAATCAGCAACACAGATGGACTCTAGATGCAAGGTTTGATTCACGACAACCTTTAAGCCATTTATGAAGGGCAACTATAACAAGGCTGATATTCAGTTTCACTACATGTAATGTGGAGGACACCAAAAACATGTGGAAGAAGGTGCTCTTGTCAGATAAAATTATTAGGAACTTATTCACCTATATGCAGAATGCTAATTTAATGCTAAACAGAATTTATTTTTCCCACCATGGTCCACAAGGCTCATTGTCCTGCATATTTTAGGCTTCTGGCTGCTGCCACACACCTGACCTGAATGAATTGGTGATTGGTAGGCTTCAGCAGCACTTGATTGCTGCTGAGGAGGTAATGAAATCTTTTCTGTTAAGTGTACTGGAGCAGAGACACATTTAAAACATGCAGGAAGGTTGACCCTGAGTATCAGGGTTGGGAAATGCTGCCCTACAGCATCATAATAACGCAACCCCACTCTCATACATTTTTATAAAAGGGACAAAGAAAGCTGACCAGAAATGCTCCGATGGTGGGTGGAGCAAAATGCAGGACTATACTGGATTAAAACATACCAGCTTCACCATCTGGAAGGCAACACTAAACAGAACTAAACAGCTTGAGCTACCAAACAAACAAAAATTTTGATTTTCAAAAATCCAGATCTAACTCCAATTATAAAACTGTGGAAAGACTTGCATGATCCCTTTTGATTTACTTTCTTTACACAATCTAGGTTTGAGGTATTCTGCAAAACAACATCTCCCAAAAAGACAGATAAGATACTATTACAAGATGCACACGAGTACCTTGCAGCTAAACATATTTTACAGCTCATTACATCCTAGAGTACACATGTTTTTCTTTTTTTTTATTTGTAAAAACAAATCAAAAACCTGTGTAATTTCCTTACCATTCTAAATTGAGCTCCACATTGTTGTGGTGTACAACCTAAAATCCCACTTCATTACACACAAAACATCGTCATGTATAACTACTGTAGAGCTCCAAAACACTTATGTGCCTATCATTTTAATTTAAATTTGGGTTAATTTTTGATAACTTGTTTAGGTTCCAGTTTGTCATCTCGTTGCTAAGCAATCATAGACAATTCAAATTGTTATACATAATTAAAAACCAGATTACATTAAACATACATAGTATAGCATTGGTAAAGCCTGCGGGCACTCTAATAGATTCCTCTCTATGGAAAGGGGCTGTAGCCTTGGTCTGTAATCCTAGGTGGAGTCTGATGTTATCTGTACTAACTTTCAATCTGACCTGTTATTAATATCCTCATAAAACCCAGATCTTACCTTAAGAACTCAACATACCTTAAGCCTTAGTTAAAAAAGATAGACATTTGATTTTAGTCCAATTTTACCAAAGTATGTTCTTGTATTTGCATTTTGATGTCCATGATATATTTCAATGCTTTGTTGTACTGAGTTTGATTAGAATTTAGGCAAAGGGCGTTTTAACCATTTGGAGTCAAATATCTACATTTTAACACCTAAAACTTTTCATCATCACCAGAAATATTTGTTCATTATCACATAAAGCTACTGTACAACATCCAGGTTTAAACCAGATCTTGAATTAAGATCTTGCGTTTAAGTTTCAGCTGATTTTAATTGGTTTAAGCCTGTTTAAGTGGTTATCCTTCAGTTAAGTCTTGATACTTTTTTTAATTGAAAGCAGAAAAAGTCATGTCTCTCTACTTTTGTAGAATTGTATGAAAACTACAGTTTGGAAAGTATTTTTCTTGTTTTATTAAAATGTTTTGATTGTTTATTATGTTTAAAAGCAGAGAGTCATTAGCACTTCTTATAGACCACCATACATGATTCACCATAAGCTTTAAATCATATATTTTCAGTTACTGACTATTTCTTTCTACAAGCATATATGTAATCTAAAATTGTAAAGTTTCCTGAGTCTAATTTATACTTACAAGAATTTATGTTGTTATTCTCCATAAAATGTGAAATATAAAGAATCTAGATTGTAAAATACATCCACTAGTTCATTTTTATTGTTTTGGTTTTTCTTAATCCGTTCTAATCCATTTTGATTTAAAAATCAGCTGAGTAACTAATATCTGAATATACATCAGTTGACAGCCGGTTATATGATCTTACAATAATGTTAAAATTGTTTTGTAATTTTTGATCTTCTATTATGTTAAATGAGTTTGAATATGATTCAAATGAGGCTCATTAGTCATATTAAAAATAAGCAGAATATTAAAGGTACTTTTTATTTAGCCCACCTTTCTGTATTAATATTTATGTTTTTAGGTCTCAGGTAATATTATAATCTAGAATATTATGTTTTTTTTTTTTTTACATGTAAGTGGAAATTAATCATGGTTAACAGAAATATGGGCCTGTATTCTGTAATTTGCATAAAGAGAATAAGTTTAGTGGATGTAATAATATTTATTCATTCAAGCATAGATGTACAGCAAGCTTCTTTTAATAATGATTTGAGGAGACAATTCAAGAATTTATTATTTTTTTTAATGAAATAATATGCCCTTCATTGCTTAGATATGTCAGTTTCTACCTTCATACATATATAAAGAAAATTAACTACTGTGAAATCTAAGGAGTATTTCCAACTCTTATTACCAAATGATTATTGTAATATTTGCTCTAAAACATTATTTCAGTCTTGGTCTGGCATTAGATTATTGGTTCACTCAGTATATTTACATATGCAAAAGCTATTTTTTCAATGGCAGTTATTGTTATACACGTATGCTATAGGCTGCTATTACATTATTGCTTTCTCCACTTCTATTATTCATTCTTATTTAACTCTGTATCTGTGTGCAAACTCTCTCCACAGTGGTGACTTGTCCCACACCACCGTCCATCCCCAACGGGCTGCTGGAGGGCTCAGTCCTGGAGTGGGGCTCCAGTGTGAGCTACGGCTGCCTGCCTGGCTATGAATTATCTTTCCCCGCTGTGCTTACCTGCACAGGAAATGGCACATGGAGCGGAGACCTGCCTCAGTGCCTGCGTAAGTCACTCTATTGTTTCTTGATTTAAACCTCCCAACATGCTTATTCTGATGGTAATTACAGAAATCTATAGGGAACATCTCTTGGTGTATAGACTGGGAGTTTGGACTATGTCTGAAATAGGTTTTTATCTGTTTCATCTAAACTTAATCTTAAATACTCCATTTGTAATGTATAATGAAACATTTTAGCCAACAGTTCTTTTCATGTCTATTATTTATAAAATCATATTACTGATTTAAATTATAAAAGTAGTGGCTTTTTTTACTTGGGGGACAGTATATGACACAAAATTACAAACCGTTGCCTTTCTCACAAAACGGTAAAATCAGGACTTAAATAATTTAGTCAGCAAAAGTCATTCTGTTTTTTTTTTTATTTATCATGTGGGAATTTTTGACATAAAAAGTAACCTTTAATATGTCCTTTGACGGCAATATACAGCTCTTGCATTTTTAATATATTTTACTGCTTGTCTCAGAGTCGTCTCTTTAGCATCATATACCTTTTTATAAAGTGTGTTGTAAACGTTTGCAATTTTCAGTGATTTGTTTTCCTAATTAATTAAAATAATGGTATTCATGAATAATAAATAGAAGTCAGAACTGAGGTGAGAAGAAAAGCTGACTTGGTTAGTCTGGAAGTCAGGAATTGATTTGCTGCTGTTATCTTCATTTACCCCAGTTTTTTTTATTTTTATTTTTTTATTTAATTTTTATTTCATTTTATATTGCATGAATTTTTACCTGTTTATAATGAAAAATGGGTACAAAGGATAATTTCCTCTAAATAATATGTAGATTAAAATCAAGTGAACTGCACTCTACCCTCTGGGTGAGAGCTGTGGTGTTGATGGAGATTATGATCTTAGTAGACTCATAAATGAATTGCCTTATTCTCCCTACTCCATTAATACCTTCTCTGGGAGGTCTTTGCAAGTGTACTAATAACCTCTGCTATGCATGGCTGCTCAAACAGTGTCTCACTGTCATCTGAATCAGTCAGGCATTACGTCACAAAGAAGTGAAATGTTAAGTGGCTAAGTACTTACATGTGTTTGTTTCCTTCAGTGTTCAGACTCCTGAATGTTAATTATAAAGGAAAGGTAATTAATCTCCCCCATCTTAACATGGACAAAGTTAATTTTATTTTATATCATTTTTATAACCCAGGCATTAGCTGTAATTGGAGGCTGTATGTTTCTTTGACAGATCCAGTTTACAGCAGTCTAAAGGTGTCAAGAAAATTAGAAGTTTGTTGATTGATATTGTTTACTGTAACTATACCATGCTGTTCAGTCAGATACAATAGTTTGAGTTTAAGATAAACAGCTTTGTTTTGTTTTTGTTTTTTTTGCTTTAGCTGTCATTAAATGCTAAAAAAAGTGTCAGGCTGTGACAGAAGTTGATGAATTGTTATGTATCCAGAGAAGCGTACACATTCCCATATGGGTCCTTCTGGGATGCAAATAATAGGCTGCTTGGGTTTTTTACACAGTAGCTTGGGATGCTGTTTGTTATATAGGTGTTTGTTATTTAACAGTGATTTGGGATAATTATTTATTCCTGTAAGGGCAATAAAATTCAATGTGTTTTATTAGAGTTCTATCCAACATACCAAAAAAAAAAAAAAAAAGAAATAGCCTAGAGGCCTATGGCACCAATGGTCGGGACAACTATTTGTAACACACTTTACAGTTCTGCCTTGTAAGGAGCAAAGTCAATGTGAAAAAAGCTGTGGTTAGTTTATTTTTTTTTGTTTGCCCCAGGTGATTAAAGAAGGCACAAGAAGTGTGTGAAAGGTGTTCCAGTTATATAAAAGAAAGAGAAAACATTTATTGCATATTTAACGCTACTACTTAGGTGAAATGTGGTAGTGACAACATTATAGTGTTTTTTTTTTTTTTAGGATGTCAGATGAGAGTTAATGGGAAAATAGATAGAGAGCATATTTATTCAGAATCATTCAATTTTAATTGAGTAATCACAAAAGCAACATCATCGTCAAAATGATATTTCTTATTCTACTTTGTAGATATTCTTATTTTGACATGTCTCCCAATGATGTTTCCTGTGACTTCTTTTGCTGATTCAATCTAGCTATGAAATGTGCATAGCTGCCATATTCAGCAGCTTTTTAGACATGCTTAGAATTCTATTATTCTCAGCAACACTTCTAAGAACAATTTCTGGTTTTACCTTTGAAGACTTGTCAAACCACATATTGTGCTTATCCTTCCTAACAAGTAGCAGCTGCTTTTGTGCTCCCTCGGGATCTAGAGTGCAAATAATTTGTACAGGTGCAGAGCTGCCACTTTCCCAGCCCCTATACTCAGAGTGGGAAACATTTTTTAAATGATCTCTGTCTAAAACAAATCATAAAAACATCACAGCATTTCTAATGTCTGTTGTCTGTTTGTTAAATATTAATGGAAATTGTTCTAGTTGTTCACTTGTAAATGCGAACATGGAAATTAAGAGTTCTGTATTACAAAGCCTTTCATGCAATATCCATTCTTTGAGCTCTGAAATATATATATTTTTTGTACTAAGAGTCTCTAAAAGTCCCCAAAAATTTAATTTAGTCTCTCATGATAAATAGGATATCTTCAGATGTTGTTTAGGTCACATTTTCTCAGTCTTCTCATGTTTCTCCATTTATGTTAATGTTTTGTTATCTTTCGGTTCACAGTATTGGCTCACGGACTTCTGGTTGCAATCCAGTCACTAACAATACTTTTTTCTCACAGTATTTTAAATGTTTTTGGAAATAAATGTCTATTCAAATTGTGGTAGCATTGATCGCTTGAAAGATTTCTAACATGTAGCTTGTGTGAAAATATTTTCTGTGACATTATTGAAAAAAAATGATAGCTTGTGTTACTACTACGAAATGCTTAGTGTTGGCCTAGTGGGTTGGAGCAGTGCGCTTGAGCTCTTAGAAGGGTGCAAGTATCCCGTTTGATCCCCACAACCTCCACTGTGGGTTCCTGAGCAAAACCCTTAACCCCACACTGCTCCCTGGGCGCCACACAATGGCAGCCCACTGCTCCACAATGGGATGGGTTAAATGCAGAGGTAAATTTCTCCACCGTGAGATCAATAAAGTTCAATTATATATTATTGTTACATTTTATATAATACTTTTTAAGCCATTCAAAGTCACCTTTAGGCAATTATACAATTAAGAATGCCTCTAGCACTACTGATTATAAATTTGGTATGAAATATAGTTGCTTTCTTCAAACGTTGAAGAAAAACACTTGACTTCAAAGCTAAGCAGCCTCTTCTTGTCTGAGTGCCGTCGATTTCAGAAGCATTATCATCCCACTTTTAAAGGCTGAACAAACCTCTTTAGTTAAAAAAAAAAAGATTTTCTCACGTTAGATATTAGCTAAAAAGATAGGTTGCTCTTCTGTAGAGATTAGCTGCTATAAGACCCTAATCTCAATTTTGAGCCAGAATCAGAGCACTTTGTACCCCCCATCACCCTTCGCGCTGACGGGAGAATGCAAATAATTGGTGGCACAGCATGGTTAAAGTAGGTGCTTCCTGGATTGGGCAGTATAACATATTTATTCTAAAATTGATGATTTTCTTACGTATTTATTCTCCATTTGCTGGTTTTCTGACATATTTATTCTCCAACTGCTGGTTTTTAACAAACAGGAATGGGCTCATTGATATTACCCAAAGATGCATGTAAAAAGCCAAATAACTTCTTTTTTTTAAAGTAGAACTTGATGAATGAATAGCACTATAACATACTGTAGTTATACAAGTTGGTTTTAATCATATAGGCCCTTTATCATGCTTAATGATTAAAAGAAACAGTCATTGTCATCCAACTTAACTCATGTTAGGGGGGAGGGTCTTTGCATTAAAGGAGGCCTCATAAAGCAAGTTGGTCAAAGAACAATGAAAAATTCTGACCTAAGTATTTTAGTTCCACTTTATTTAGACCACAACTAAATGATTTGAATAGGGAACAAAACCTTTCAAAACAGGAGACAGAAGGTGTTCTTTAAGAACAAAACAAGGGAACAATTAACAAAACCAATAAGCTCTCTAATACAACAGAGCTAGAAAAAAATGTTGTTCATCTAAACTTAAAGATTAATTTACAAAAGCTTGACTTACCAAATAAGCTAAATCAAAACAGCTTTCAGACACTGGTATAACTAAACTAATAAACTATGCTTCTTCTAAGATTCCTAATTTAGCCTTTAGAAGCCCTCACATTTTTTACATATAGTATAATACAAGCCTTAAGCCAAACACTTAGTTAATACCTAGACCAGCAAGCAGCTACATTTAGCTAACAAACATTTAATACCAAACTAAGGTCAAACATTTCCAATTACATCCAAATAAGGAGGCAGACTGCTGAGATTAATAACTTAATCCACTGTTGGTGCGGTCGCTTAAGATCCCTGAGCTTCTTCTGTGGTTGGAGGAGCAGAAGATGAACAGTCCAAGCAGAAAGTAAAGGGATGCCCATCAGGAGAAGTCAGCAGGTGTGAACTGCACAACTTGCCCAACAAATCAGTACAAAAAGCAAAACAAAATGGCTTCAGGAGTAATGCTATCAGAAATTAACAATCTATAACGTTTTATTCTAAAGTAAACAAGTAATTACTTTTAAATTATGTTGATTTGAGTATTGGCCTAAAGTAATCATACTCATATTTCCCCAAAATTGAGCTGCTCTTTGCTGGAGTGGCCTTTGGTTTTCTAACAATAACATAAAGTTACCATAACAACCAGAGCAAAGGTTATAGGCTCGACCTAAAAATGTGATCTACAGTCAGAGGACAGAATAATGCACAATGTGGTTTCCAGATTATTATTTTTTTTACTTATAAAACTGGAGCATTTGACCCACTGCAGGCCCATGCTGCTATCTAGAATAAGAGGGATTGTATCATTATCTTAATGCAAAACCTAAAACAGATTTTTTAAGTCCAGATTTGTACTTTATTTATGCCTCATAACCAAAT